ATAACTACTCACTCCACAGTATACTCACTCACTCACTCACTCAACAGTATACTCACTCACTCACTCACTCCACAGTATACTCACTCACTCCACAGTATACTCACTCACTCACTCAGCATGAAGGGTTCTTGTGATGGTGTGTACACTCATCTGTTTGTGGTAGTAAGTAGCCATCAGACTTACAAACCATGTACGACCATAATGAAGGACAACAGCTGAATCAAACATGTACCAGGTATTCATTTATTATTTTTGTGTTTTTTTTACAAGAAGCAAGAGGAGAACCGGTACCCAGATCTCAGTCATTTGTTGTGGAGAGTACTGATAAGGGAGGTGTCCCTTATTCGTCAAATACGATAATTTGTCATTTATTTGAATAAAAGGATGCCACTGGAACACGGCCCAACGTCTGCTGTGAGTAAAGGGACCCCTCTGAGTATTAATTGCTAATTGGCCGATAAGGTAGTTCTTTTCTCAGTTCTGGAAACATACCAGACGAATGACAATGCTTTCTAAATGTACTGGTTATTGCCATAGCAACAAAATATGGACATGAAAGACTTTTAGCCCTTTTCCTCAGTTTCTTGTAAGGAAAGAAGTTTTGGATAAGTCAGCATAATAGAACGGTTTTTTTGTAACGATTGCCAATAAAGTTTAATTAATCTCATGCTAATGAGTCTCCTGTCATTGGACAAAATGAAGGTGAGATGGAGATTAAGTTTGCTTTTAAATATTGTTAGTGAAAACATAAGTTTTTATAAATGGAATATTTGGTAAATTGTGTTCAATAATTAGCATAATTTGTAATGGCTAATCACAGATTGTTCAATAAGAAGAATGTTATTTGACAAGAGTCGCCCCATACTCCTTACGGATTGTCTGTGCTTTTCGTAGAAAAGTTAGGTAAACAAGTAAATGAATTTAAAGCCCCTTCACAACATGGCCACTTATGTATTGTCTTAGTGTAAGTCTCTTCATCCAGACATAGATAACCTCAAATACTCAAAACTCGGATCAAAGTATTGATATAAACCCTTAAAAATGCAGGGATTGTATGCTTGAAGTGACCAACTCAATGTGTTCCCTTGTTCGCTCTGTGTCAACTCTCCCGTCCCCCCCGATCCCTGCTACAACCACTGATCGATGGACAGATTACATAACACCTTTTTATCTAAGGTCAGGAAATGTTTCCCTAACAACAATTGCTGTTTGCAGATCCTAGCTCCTACAGCCCTCATGTGGGTGCATCAGGAGATGCAATATTTGCATATTGCCGTAGTTACAGACAACTTTTGTGTGGAGTGACAGTATAGATGGATGATGATAGGTTGGGGACGTGTCAGCTGGGGCAGTGATGTAGTGTGGAATATGTTTGGAGAATTTATCTGTCAAGTTACTTTCATGTGCAATTAAGAAAGCTAGTTTATGTCTGTGACAGAGTTACAGTGAAGAGGTACCAGGGAGACTGGTCTACTTCTCTATGGTACTGGAGAACTATTTGCTGGAGGTTTTATCATGACATACAAGGTGTACTGTTCCAAGGTTGGTGAGGTCATATATTTTCCTGCGACTTTTTATGGAAGACGAACAGGTTGGAAGAGATTTTGTATGTGTTAGTTGATTTGGAGTCAGCAGATTACTATTTAGGATGTATTTGATTTGTTTGTTTGTTTGTTGTTTAACGCCGTACTCATCAATATTCCAGCTATATGAGGGCGGTCTGTAAATAATCGAGTCTGGACCAGACAGTCTAGTGATTGATATCATGAGCATCGATCTACACAATTGTGATTCGATGACATGAATCAACCAAGTCAGCGAGCCTGACTACCCTTTTAAGGCAAGCATGGGTTGCTGAAGACTATTCTAACCTGGATTTTCACGGATCTTAAAAATGTTGGCAAATTAACTGTGTCCAGTCCTTTAGTCCATCTTGTGAACTGAGGACAAATATGGGCCATCATTTCTCTCCACAGTGTTTACACCTCAAACAAAGCTGATTGTACCTGTTAGGGGCTTTGGTGTTTCAATTTTCAGCCCCAAATCTGTATGTCAAGTAAACAGAAACAGTTTCGTCTCTTAAAACCACCAACAGGGTTACAAATGAATACATAGAAATGTATCCTCAGTTATTTAGAATCAAACGGACAGCTTGACAATGGCATAGCCCTTATAGTGTTCTTTGAGTCTTCAGTATGGTCAGTATAGTTTTTGAATATTTAAAAAAATGTTTGAACAAAGAGAAGTGTGTAATATAGTGAATGGAATTATGTTGTTGCTAGACTGGGGGTATTTAGTCTGTAATATCTGCATGTTGCTAGACTGTGGGTATTTAGTCTGCAATATCTACATGTTGCTAGACTGGGGGTATTTAGTCTGTAATATCTGCATGTTGCTAGACTGTGGGTATTTAGTCTGTAATATCTGTATGTTGCTAGACTAGGGGTATTTAGTCTGTAATATCTGCATGTTGCTAGACTGGGGGTATTTAGTCTGCAATATCTACATGTTGCTAGACTGGGGGTATTTAGTCTGCAATATCTGCATGTTGCTAGACTGGGGGTATTTAGTCTGCAATATCTGCATGTTGCTAGACTGGGGGTATTTAGTCTGCAATATCTGCATGTTGCTAGACTGGGGGTATTTAGTCTGTAATATCTGCATGTTGCTAGACTGTGGGTATTTAGTCTGTAATATCTGCATGTTGCTAGACTAGGGGTATTTAGTCTGCAATGTCTGCATGTTGCTAGACTGGGGGTATTTAGTCTGTAATATCTGCATGTTGCTAGACTGGGGGTATTTAGTCTGTAATATCTGCATGTTGCGAGACTGGGGGTATTTAGTCTGTAATATCTGCATGTTGCTAGACTGGGGGTATTTAGTCTGCAATATCTGCATGTTGCTAGACTGGGGGTATTTAGTCTGTAATATCTGCATGTTGCTAGACTGGGGGTATTTAGTCTGTAATATCTGCATGTTGCTAGACTGGGGGTATTTAGTCTGTAATATCTGTATGTTGCTAGACTGGGGGTATTTAGTCTGCAATATCTGCATGTTGCTAGACTGGGGGTATTTAGTCTGCAACATCTGCATGTTGCTAGACTGGGGGTATTTAGTCTGTAATATCTGCATGTTGCTAGACTGGGGGTATTTAGTCTGTAATATCTACATGTTGCTAGACTGGGGGTATTTAGTCTGTAATATCTGCATGTTGCTACTTGTCATTCACTGTTCTGACTGTGTGGTATCAAAAGTTGTTAAACGATGGTACTTGTTGTTACCTGCCTGGTGTTCGGCATTAAGGGGATAAAACAAAGATTGATCGGCTCAGAGTCGGTAGACTGTGGGTAGGGTATTCATGTTAAACTGCGGCATGGTATCACAGTTGGCTAGCACTATAAAACAGGCATAAGTCAGGACTAGTACAAGCAGCCACACACACATGCGTGCATGGACATTGTTTTATATGTGCAATGTTCTTGAATGTGATGTGGAGGAGAGAGCATATGGAAATATTTATGATACAATTCAAATGATTTGTTTTTGTGCATGCCTAATATTAAGAAACTCTGCTGGCATTTTTCAAATCCAATAATGGAGAAAGTCTTCTGTTGGTTATATAAATATCTATTACAGGTTTGCTCATTTAGCTACATCTATTGGGTCCTATCCTTGTCGTACCTTGTCATTTCATGTCTCTTATATTTGATGACTCAGCATTTTGAATCTATCCGTTTGCCATCTTTTGCATGTACCGGGTACAGTGTACTAAATGATTCATTGTTGGAGAATTCAGTTGCTACTCTTCAAATACATGCTGAATCGAAAATCTTCAGATACGTCTGGAGATATTGACATACACTTTATCAAGTAGAGTGAAACTAACAGACATCTAAGACAGATCTATTTCTGTACACCTACACATGCGTTGATGGTAAATACTGACATGCTGAAGCCCTTCTTCATCACCCAGGGCATCCCTGTGTTTATCAACCACAGCCACAGGGTCGCACAAACAGCAACAATGTTTGACATGTATATTACATGTGTTGATACAATATTTATGCCAGGAGATATACACTGTTGTATATGATATTATATTGGATAGCTGAATGGGGATTTATGAATGAAGTTGCTGGTATTTATTTCATGCATTCTGGTGTGATCTGTGTTTGTTCGTTGTTTAACGCTAGAGTGACTCAGCAATGATGGCCTATAAATATTTGAGTCTGGAGCAGACAATCCTGTGATTGAAATTATGAGTAACGAGCTTGAAAGTGGGACAATAAGTCTAGAGGGGTTCACTAACTATGCACTTCACACTTTGTACTCATTGTTGAGGATCAAACCAGGTTTTCAGTGTAACAAGCAATCATTTAAGGCTTGCCCTTAAATCTATTTTATGTTCAGTACTGTTAAGAAACGACTTCTTTAAACTCAAATTGTTTTTTTGCGCTAAATTTCCCCCTTTAAGCATGCCATGCTATTAGGATTCACAGGTCTATTAGTGGCCTCGGACCCATCTTTTCATACTTTGAGCTGCTGGGAGTATATACCATGTGGTATATTATCTTTTGTATCTACTTTGGTAATTAAAGATTTCATTTACATCCGAAACCATTTAATTCAAGCCATTGAGTGGTGGGCAAGACCCCTAAATCAGCTGTTGTTTTAGTGAGGATGGCGAGAATGGCATCTGAAAACCATAGAAACCGTTACTAAGGAATGAGCTCGTGCACATCCCTTACCAAAGTGTCCGGTAAACTGCATTCTTGCCGTATATTAGAATCAAGTTTGTTCTTATATACCAAAGAAATATAGAAATATAAATAAATATCCTCCCTCCTACCCAGTGAGTTTTCAAATAAGTCATGATAAAGAGTGGGCCTATATAACCTCTGGGCCCGCCCTGTATTCACAGGGGTGTATACTTGTCTCCAGCTTTGTTGCCCAGATGTTGGTTTTGTTGTGGTTTTACAGTTATGTGAACTCTGTTACAGGTATGACGTCCACGAAGGTGACATCATCGCCGCCGCGCCCACAGATCCGGACACGTACCACATCTCGGGACTTGACCGGCAACACATCCGGGAGAAGCGAGTGGCAGTGAAGACTGTCAACAACACAGACTTCATAGGACTCAATATCAGGGGTGGCAGTGAATATGGCCTGGGAATCTTTGTATCCAGGTGGGTGGAGTGTTGTACTTGGAGGTACAGCTGTCGTATAATTCCTGTTCATTTTCTGTTGATAAGGACCCATGGCATCTTTGTCTTTGACTAGGCTTGGTCTCAATCTCATTAAAATCATATCCTAGTTCTCGCTACCGCTAAACAAAGTTCTGAGGACATCCCATTAGGGATCACGTCAGACCGACCTTACGCGAACTTTGATCGACCAATGAAATGACTGACAAGAAGTTGACATTAGCCAATCAGAAGGCAGCTTTCTCGTGCTTTACGGCACTAATTTCAAATTGGCGACATATGATGCTTCGAAACATATTTTGACAAATTCCCCCCAAAAATTGGAAACCTGAACAAAAGAACATTCTGAAATGGCAAATAGATGGTCTCGATTGTATGGATTCAGTTGTTAAGCCCGTAACTATCATTCGGAATACCCCGTGTTAAAGTTTTCGAGGTTGCATGATTAGAAATCACATGCCGATTGTGACTTTCATGATCTGGTAAGCAACGCTCTGATTGGTCGGATGAAAGGTCGTTCTGACGTGACCCCTAATGGGATGTCCTCAGATCTTTGTTTAGAGGTAGCGAGAACTAAGATCTTAATAATGAGATTGGGCTTAGGTCTTTAATGCTGTGTGTTGACTGGTGAGTTTCTGTTACAGAGTGGACCCTGGTGGTCTAGCGGAGAAGAATGGTGTGTGTACGGGAGACCAGATACTGGATGTGAATGGTACCGACTTCTCCAAAATCTCCCATAGTGCAGCAGCAGACTACCTGCGTACCAACCCCAACCTTGTTCTTACTTTGAGGGTAGGTTCTTGTCATGCTGATGCGATTTGTGTCAGATGTAGAATGAAAAGTTTATTATGAAACTCCATGAGACCTTGAGTCCCCAATATCCTATGCGGGTGCCCCTTGGGGATACGGGACATTGTGGTTATACATGGGGTACCCAGTGGTCAATGCTCGTGCCCCATGGGATACGGGACATTGTGGTTATACATGGGGTACCCAGTGGTCAATGCTCGTGCCCCATGGGGATACGGGACATTGTGGTTATACATGGGGTACCCAGTGGTCCATGCGTGTGCCCCATGGGGATACCGGACATTGTGGTTATACATGGAGTACCCAGTGGTCCATGCTTGTGCCCTATGGGGATACCGGACATTGTGGTTATACATAGGGTACCCAGTGGTCCATGCTTGTGCCCCATGGGGATACGGGACATTGTGGTTATACATGGGGTACCCAGTGGTCCATGCTTGTGCCCCATGGGGATTCCGAACATTGTGGTTATACATGGGGTACCCAGTGGTCCATGCGTGTGCCCCATGGGGATTCCGAACATTGTGGTTATACAAGGGGTACCCAGTGGTCCATGCTTGTGCCCCATGGGGATTCCGAACATTGTGGTTATACAAGGGGTACCCAGTGGTCCATGCTTGTGCCCCATGGGGATACGGGACATTGTGGTTATACATGGGGTACCCAGTGGTCCATGCTTGTGCCCTGTGGGGATACCGGACATTGTGGTTATACATGGGGTACCCAGTGGTCAATGCTTGTGCCCCATGGGGAAACGGGACATTGTGGTTATACAAGAGGTAACCAGTGGTCCATGCGTGTGCCCCTTGGGGTTACGGGACATTGTGGTTATACATGGGGTACCCAGTGGTCCATGCGTGTGCCCCATGGGGATACGGGACATTGTGGTTATACAAGAGGTACCCAGTGGTCAATGCTTGTGCCCCATGGGGATACGGGACATTGTGGTTATACAAGAGGTAACCAGTGGTCCATGCGTGTGCCCCTTGGGGTTACGGGACATTGTGGTTATACATGGGGTACCCAGTGGTCCATGCTTGTGCCCCATGGGGATACGGGACATTGTGGTTATACAAGGGGTACCCAGTGGTCCATGCTTGTGCCCCATGGGGAAACAGGACATTGTGGTTATACATGGGGTACCCAGTGGTCCATGCGTGTGCCCCCTGGGGATACCGGACATTGTGGTTATACATGGGGTACCCAGTGATCCATGCTTGTCTCCCCATGGGGATACGGGACATTGTGGTTATACATGGGGTACCCAGTGGTCCATGCTCATGTCCCATGGGGATACGGGACATTGTGGTTATACAAGAGGTAACCAGTGGTCCATGCTTGTGCCCTGTGGGGATACCGGACATTGTGGTTATACATGGGGTACCCAGTGGTCAATGCTTGTGCCCCATGGGGATATGGGTCATTGTGGTTATACATGGGGTACCCAGTGGTCCATGCTCGTGCCCCATGGGGAAACGGGACATTGTGGTTATACATGGGGTACCCAGTGGTCCATGCTTGTGCCCCATGGGGATACGGGACATTGTGGTTATACAAGAGGTAACCAGTGGTCCATGCGTGTGCCCCTTGGGGTTACGGGACATTGTGGTTATACATGGGGTACCCAGTGGTCCATGCGTGTGCCCCATGGGGATACGGGACATTGTGGTTATACAAGGGGTACCCAGTGGTCCATGCTTGTGCCCCATGGGGATTCCGAACATTGTGGTTATACATGGGGTACCCAATGGTCCATGCGTGTGCCCCTTGGGGATACGGGACATTGTGGTTATACATGGGGTACCCAGTGGTCCATGCGTGTGCCCTATGGGGATACCGGACATTGTGGTTATACATAGGGTACCCAGTGGTCCATGCGTGTGCCCCATGGGGATACCGGACATTGTGGTTATACATGGGGTACCCAGTGGTCCATGCTTGTGCCCTGTTGGGATACCGGACATTGTGGTTATACATGGGGTACCAAGGGGTCCATGCTCGTGCCCCCTGGGGATACCGGACATTGTGGTTATTCATGGGGTACCCAGTGGTCCATGCTCGTGCCCCATGGGGATACGGGACATTGTGGTTATACATGGGGTACCCAGTGGTCCATGCTTGTGCCCCATGGGGATACCGGACATTGTGGTTATACATGGGGTACCCAGTGGTCCATGCTTGTGCCCTGTTGGGATACCGGACATTGTGGTTATACATGGGGTACCCAGTGGTCCATGCTCGTGCCCCCCGGGGATACCGGACATTGTGGTTATTCATGGGGTACCCAGTGGTCCATGCTCGTGCCCCATGGGGATACGGGACATTGTGGTTATACATGGAGTACCCAGTGGTCCATGCTTGTGCCCCATGGGGATACGGGACATTGTGGTTATACATGGGGTACCCAGTGGTCCATGCGTGTGCCCCTTGGGGATACCGGACATTGTGGTTATACATGGGGTACCCAGTGGTCCATGCTCGTGCCCCATGGGGATACGGGACATTGTGGTTATACATAGGGTACCCAGTGGTCCATGCTCGTGCCCCATGGGGATACCGGACATTGTGGTTATACATGGGGTACCCAGTGGTCAATGCTCGTGCCCTATGGGGATACCGGACATTGTGGTTATACATGGGGTACCCAGTGGTCAATGCTCGTGCCCTATGGGGATACCGGACATTGTGGTTATACATGGGATACCCAGTGGTCAATGCTCGTGCCCCATGGGGATACCGGACATTGTGGTTATACATGGGGTACCCAGTGGTCCTTGCGTGCACCCCATGGGGATACGGGACATTGTGGTTATACATGGTGTACCCAGTGGTTCATGCTTGTGCCCCATGGCATTACGGGTCACTAGATCCCCAGTACCCAATGGATTCTGTGACAGACTAGGCTCCCAGCACCCTATGGATTCCGGGACAGACTAGGCTCCCAGCACCCTATAGATTCCGGGACAGACTAGGTCCCCAGTATCCTATAGATTCTGGGGCAGATGAGATCCCCAGCACCCTATAGATTCCGGGACAGACTAGGTCCCCTGAGTACCCTATGGATTCTGGGGCAGACTAGGCTCCCAGTACCCTATGTATTCTGGGACAGACTAGGCTCCCAGCACCCTATGGATTCCGGGACAGACTAGGCTCCCAGCACCCTATAGATTCCGGGACAGACTAGGTCCCCAGTACCCTATAGATTCTGGGGCAGATGAGATCCCCAGCACCCTATAGATTCCGGGACAGACTAGGTCCCCTGAGTACCCTATGGATTCTGGGGCAGACTAGGCTCCCAGTACCCTATGTATTCTGGGACAGACTAGGCTCCCAGTACCCTATGGATTCTGGGAAAGACTAGGCTCCCAGCACCCTATGGATTCTGAGGCAGATGAGATCCCGGTACCCTATGGATAGACTAGGGTGCCATTGTACAAAGCGAGTCTGAGTCTGAGTGATTCTAACTCCCATACCTTGACACACACTTACAACAGTCGTAGCGCTGACATTGTTTAGGGTTATCTGTATGGAAGGGGACTAATAGTTCCAGGAAGTGGAATGTTTTTAACAGAAGATGTTCTGCTTGTAGGAAGTGGGGCGTTATCCGGCCTACAAGGAACTGTTTGCAGAGTACACGTGGAGCGACCGAGCTCATCGCAACTCAGGTTGGGCTGCCCATTCCTATAGTCGTCACTTTTGATAGGTTCGAGTTCTTTTTCTCAGTTTGCTTGGGCTCTGGGACTCGGCTAAATACACCTCGATGTTGTCGCTTGTCATGTTTGGATGTGAACTAAACACTTTGGCTTTTTCATTGTCATTAGGCCAGACTCTTTGACGGGGAGGGGGAGGTGAAAGCTAAAAAATAATCTGGCCCGGTTTGTATCTTGATATTATAAATTTAAAATCTGATTTGTAAGGACAATTTAACATTGGAACAATTCCTGTTTTTAAGTCATATAATAATCCCTTTGAGTAGTTATATTGTCAAAGTGATTTTTTCATCGGCAGTATAAAAAATCTTGTTCTGATTAACAACATTTTCTGAATTTTCTGATTTTTAAGGTCAGCAGATCCGTAAACCAAGCAAAACAATGTAAGGCCTTATGTTCACACATACAACACATGGCCAACGTGGAAATATTCTAAATCTTGAGATGGATCACCAACTTGTAAGCCCTTGAAGACCTGCGAAGACCCTGTGCTTGCTGTTAAAGGCGACTGTGCTTGTCGTAAGAGGCGACTAACGAGATCGGGTGGTCAGCTTGGCTGACTTGGTTGATGGTTGTCATCATATCCTAATTGTGTAGATTGATGCTCATGATATCAATCACTGGATTGTCTGGTCCAGACTCGATTATATACAGACCACCGTCATATAGCTGGAATATTGCTGAGTGTGGTGTTAAACAACAAACAAACAAACTTGTGACAAGGACCTCTATAAATTAACCCAAACGACAACATTTATTTTTTAAAATTTATTTAGGTGACTGTTTCATATGTCACTGCACCTTTCTTTTCCCCAACCATTGTCCAATATTTTCACAAAAGGACAAATTAGTATTTTGTTCTCTCCCATATGAATTAGGAAGTAGTTTTTATATATTCATTTCCTGTAAGTCAACCATTTTGAAATGGTCAGTTTTTCACATCAAGTTCTCTTCTCTAGTTTCCGTGAATATGGTTGTGTAGTGGAAGTTGATTTATACGACTGTGAGTATGTGTTTTCATATTTTTGACAAAAGTTACATTCAGTAACAAAGGTGGAAACAGCTGTGCAAGTTATGTTTTATTTGTTTGTTTTATTAATTTTATATTTTTGTGATGATATATGTCAATCTCATTTACATCAGATCTTAGTGCTCACTTCGGCTACACTCTGGTTTCAGCACATCCCATTAGAGGTCACGTTAGAACAACCTTTTGCAAACATCAGCCAATCAGAAAGCAGTTTACTTGAGCTCTACTGCACTAGTTTCAAACTAGCAACTTTTGTTGCAGGCTAGAGCTTTGAAAGATATTTTGACAAAGTTCTCGATTAAGAATTTGAAAACTGAACAAAATTCTGGAATGTCTGATAGATGGCCAGATTGTGTTCAACAAAGATCTTTGTTTAGTGGGAACAAGAACTAAGATCAGATTATAATGAGATCGTGATATACCGTATTTGTCGTAATAAGTAATAAGCGCCCAGGGCGCTCTCAAAATTAGAAATAGAGGGCTCTTATTAGAATATTAGTTTGGTGAAAAAAACAATTGAAAGATAAATTTTGTGGTTTATGCTGACAACCTGAAATGTTTATATACGAGAGATACATTTTTCCAGAATTAAATTGCCCATAATTAAGGGTGCATATAACACACGAGTGCGTATTATACGCGAATATATAACTGTTGTGTACATTGATCAATCAGAAGGGGTGCTAATTGGCATTGTTCACTAGCCAATATATTAGCAAATATCGCCGTGGGTGCTTATTAGAGAGGGGCGCTTATTACGTCGAATACGGTATGTATGACGTGAAGCAATGTTTTCCTGGGTGTTTGACGCCTCACTCAATATTGCAGCTATGTGACAGCCCAAGTAGGGAGAGAATACACAATTCCATTGCTATACAACACCATGCCCAGCGTTGTCGCCATGGTGATGCCAGGTCGTCAAGGGATACCACCTGTTTTAATCTTGTAGCTCTGTTTAGTCCTCATCTAGTAATAATCTCAGCCCTATGGCAACCCTCCCAGCCCTTAGAGTTAGTTGCTCAGGTTACCAAAATATATAGTTTTGAAATATTACTTTTTGAAAATTGATACAGAATTAAAACCTGAATCGATACAAAGACATTTTGTATCATATCTATCATGTCTCCCAGACCCTAGAGAATAAACTATAAAAGGAATCCACCCCAAGTCTAGAATGGTTTGGTAAGTCTAGATTGCCTCAGCTCTACCAAATGGATCAGGGGCAGGGCAGGGTAACTTGGTCGATTGCGTGTCATCATACCCCAGCGTGGATTGTTGTTCACATTATCAATCACTAGATTGTCTGGTCCAGATTTTTTTATCTACAGCCAATCATTTATATGATTATAGCTGGAATATTGCTGAGTGTGGCATTAAACAACAAACAAAAATCGTGTGTGAAAGAATTTTCATATTTAAATGATATTTTATGTAAAAGTATTGTTTTCTGCTACTTGCAGGTAGAGTAGCCATGTTCGACAGCCCTATATCGAGTAGACACAGCACCCTGCACATCCGCACAACCCCACAGTATGCTTCGCGTTTACCCATGGCTAGAAGTCTTGACAATATTCCATCCACCATCTACCTGCCCAGCGAGTCCCGCAGTGGCGACCTCATCTATCATGAAGAAAACCTTTACGAGTTCCGGTCGGATAGACACGACACCACTGACCTTCGACTGAAGGATGATGATTATGATGATACTCACTTTGTTCGGTTAAACGGAAATGACATGAATGACACAGACTCGGGAAAGATCAAGCGACACCAGGAACAGAGGGTGTTTCCCAGTACATCAAAAGTCATCTATGAGAATGACTTACGACAGCATTACGAGACAGCGGAAATAGTCAGACCTGAAATTCAGCCCGCTGTGTACATTTCGGATAATTACAGCCAAAGGGAGGCAACTCACATAAGGACAAACCCTATTTATGCGAACACAAATTCAAGAGGCCATTATGTCTCCCTGCAAGAAATAAATGAGTCCACACAGGATAGACCTCTAAATTTGGAGGAATATGTCATACCTAAAAGTAATTTACCTGTGCACCAACAGAACGGTGTTGATACTGTCGACACTGTCATTGTCACAGAAGTGCAGGAGGAACCAGTGTACAGCAAGGTCAGTATTATTATATATACCCCCGCCACGAAGTGGAAGGGGAGATAGGAATGGGGGCTATCCATCCGTCCTTTCGTCTGTCACTTTTCATTTCCGGGAGCACAATACAAAAACCATGTGAGATATCTTAACCAAACTTGGCACATAGATAGGTCTAGTGGCGAACTGTGGTTTTGATAGTTTGGTATTTAAAAAAATCATTTTTTCAAGTTTCTATGGCAACGACTTTGACTAGGCCTGCTCAGGGGCTGATATTCGTCAATAAATAAGTCTGCAGCAAATGTTATCCAAATTCCCAAACTAGAATTTAAACATTTCTAATGTTTATCAATACATTGAGGTACATGTCTCTGTTAAGAATACCGATAGACAGGAAGAGGTTTTAATGCTTAGTTTTATATTATTGGATTGAATACAATCTCAAAATACAATGTTAAAGTACAATGTTAAAATACAATGTTAAAATACCTCTTGAAGCAAAGTCATGCTTTTTACCCAATTTGCCTGTCAGGTGCAGTTAGTTTAGAATCCTGAATAGTCCCTACCTGCTTGCAGTTGTGGTGTCAACATTAAACACCTGTGCGTTTTTGTGAAAGTGCAAACACTTATGCTGTAGTGACCTTGCAGAAAAAACATGACTGTGAGACTTGGTTCCATGACCCATTTGTTCTTGTAGTTATGGGGCCAGGGACAAACCAGGCATCTGAGGTGCCACAACAAGCTGTACAGAGTTATCTCCCTTAGCCAAGATTAAAATTTGTGTCGGAGAGAAAATATTTTTTTTGCAGTCACCGTTTCAAAACATGCAAATATTTCAGTGAAAGGAGCTAAAGAAGTACAATTTTTTTCACATCTTAAGTTAATAATTACATTTTTCCTCATGACAAGTTATGTTTTTACAGTTTCTTCTGAAAGAATTATCTATTTTTTTTAAATGCCAGACCCCCACAGAATATTAAATGAATGGTCCTTTGGTGACAGTTGTAGTTGTAGTATGTCCATTTAGGTCAACAAGAAGAAGTTGGAGAAGACCGGAGCCGTGACGGACGGCTCCATGACTCCTGAGGAGGAGGAGGTGCTCAACGACTTCCAAGAGCAGCTGAAGATGCTGGAAGACAGGAAGTCCCATCTTGGCAACCGAGCCATCACGCAGATCGACCACTCCAAAAAAGGTAGAACATTGCTGGAACAAAAATATTTGCTTACTAGGATTTGGCAGTCAGCTTCTTTCATTCATAAGATTGAAAAGTAGGATGAAATTTATTAACACTTGTATGTAGAGTGTTGATGACTAAAACCCAGACATATTGCTGAGATTGTTTTATCAATTTTGACGATGATTTACAAGTCCCAAGGAATCAAATATTATCTCCATTGTTTAAACGTCATCGTTAAACCCAACTCACTCACTCACTCTTTTCTTGTTCAGTATATAATGTATCTTGGAATGCATGTTTCAGATTCGGATGGCAAGAAAGGGACTTGGTCACGTCTCAAGTCTAAGCTGAAAGGCGGCATCACAAGTAGGTACTCCCAGTCACTGTGCCAACGTTACCATGGTTACATGTCAGAGGCGTGGTTTTTATTTATCCCCACAATCTTTACTAAAGATTTCACCCCCTTTTTCTCATTGTCCTTCCAAGTTCACCATGGATACTGGGTTCCGTCCCAATGATTATTGAAAGTGCGTTGTGATTGTTGAGGTAGGGATGTTTCAATATCGTGGCACAACATATCACAATGCACCAAATCTTCACTAGATTGCTTCTGCTTTATTCAAAAAGTAACAAATCTCTGAAGTTTCATCTGTTAATGACATCAATGGTGGAATTCTCTTGCAGATGTAGGAATAGCGTTACTGTTTTGATTTTGACTTCAAAATACGGGCTCGAATTTTGTCTTTAGATTCTCCTGGTGAGGTGGAATGGGTTGTCAGGGTTATTGTACTTCCCTAGTGATGTCCGTCCACGTGTGTGTGACTGCTTGTACTAGTCAGGACTAATGCCGCTTTGATATTGCTAGCCCACTGAGAAATCCAACGCAGTTTAGCATGGATTGCCCCCCCCCCCCCCCCCTTCAATCCTAATATGCTGACTCTGAACTGACCAGTCCTTGTTTTAATGCCGAGCCCAGGCAGGATAACAACAAGTACCATCTTTCAACGTCTTTTGGTAAGACACGACCAGGGGATCGAATCAACAACCTTCCACACTTCAGCCACATGCTCTATCCACTACACCACGGAGGCAGTCAGGGGATCGAACCCACGAGCACATGTGTGGTGCTGACAAACCTGGAAACAATTGTGGCTAACTGGGATTGTCAGTACCATACCCATGCTCATGGGTTTCACCAAAGTGGTATATGCCTTAGATCTGCATCACTTCGGTCTTTCCTCCCACATTAAGCTGACATGCGTGATATAACTGGAATACTGTTACAAGCTGCTTTAAACCCAACACACTCACTCACTCACCTCATCCAGAGTCCTAGATTAGTTTAAGTAATGCATGTTGTTCTCCCTTCCCCCATCACCTGTAGATAGTGGACTGTATTGTTGTTGCTATTTGTCACTCTATTTTTGGTGTGTGTTTCCTCTATTGTTTCAGGGAAAAAGAAAGGTAAGTAAGATTTCTTATTTTTTAACCACACAAATTGGTTTCTTGTTTGTGGACAAGTATTAACTAAAAACTTATGTTGTCAAAGTTGTCCAAAAAAACCTTGAACATCAATAAAACATTAAATTAATTTTGTTTGTCCTGAATAGACCTATTGGTTTATATTTTAATTCTTACTGCTCTGCAGGTGACAATTTTGGTGATTTATAAATGGTCAATATAAAGAATGACGTTATTGATATCAAGTTTATGATTTACTGTTGTATATAAATAATAAATCAAAAGTCAACTTCCTTAACAATCTTTTTTTTCCAATTATTTCTTATAACAATTTGTGGGGAAGAGTGCTCTTTAAGGGCACCTTTAAAAAAAGTAACATTTTCCCCATCATGTATGAAAGGTTTGTTTGTTTGTTTGATTAACGCCACACTCAGCAATATTCCAGCTATATGACAGCGGTCTGTTAATAATCAAGTCTGGACCAGACATTCGAGTGATTGACATGAGCATCAATCCATGTAATTGAGATACGATGACATGCATCAAACCAAGTCAGTGAGCCTGACCACCCGATGCCGTTAGTTGCCTCTTACGACAAGCACAGTCGCCTTTTACGTTAAGCATGGGTTGCTGAAGACCTATTCTACCCCTGATCTTCATGGGTCTGTAGGAAAGGAATCTAGTTACTCACAACATACTATTTCATGTTTCCATAGCTAACAATTATAGTAAAGAGTTTCAGAAATGCTTTCATCTCTTTTATCAGAGCTAGCAAAACAATATATTCTTGCAAAAGTAAAGTGTTTGATTGAAATAAGACTTGATTGTCAAAGGAAACCACAAGACAACCCAATCATGTATTGTTTAGATCGTCATCTGACTCTTGAAATGTTTGCAAAACAAATCTTTTAAAAACAGACAAAGTTGGTTTTGCCTTGTTTACACGATTTGTTTTTATCCAGTGAAGCTCTGGGTTAGGTCTGGTCTTCAGCAATCCATGCTTTAAGTAAGAGGTGACTAATGGGATCGGGTGGTAAGGCTTGCCGCTTTGGTTGATGCATGTCATCATATCCCAATTGCTTGGATCGCTGCTCATGATGTCAATCACAGAATTGTCTGACCCAGACTTGATTATTTACAGACCGCTTTCAAAATGCTGGAATATTGCTGAGTGTGGCATGAGAAAACGTACATCGATTTGTTTTAGTTCTAAATATTTCCTTCTTCATGCATACATAGAAAAAAGAAATGCATTCTTCTTTTCAATCAGATCTTGTAGCTCCATGAGTTCAGAATAAGAAAAACTTTAGAACTGTTTAGATTGTATAAGTGCTTAAGTTGAGATACAATAGAGCAACTATTGGTGTTGTAGACACGGACCAGTCCCACCCTGCCCTGCAGACCCAGGCCAGCATTGACCCCAACAAGATGGCCATCCTGAAGGAGAACGCTCAGGAGAAGTTGCCAGAGAAGGAGAGCACTGAAGTTATCAGTCTGGTGGAATCAGTGAGTGGCAAAGATCTTTTATTTCTCCCTTGATGGTCAATACCTGTTAATAACAGTGTTATATCCCCTTGATAGTCAGTCCCTGTTATATTCCCTGATGGTCAATACCTGTTAATAACAGTGTTATATCCCCTTGATAGTCAGTACCTGTTATATCCCCTGATGGTCAATACCTGTTATATCCCCTTGATTGTCAGTAACTGTTATATCCCCTTGGTCAATACCTGTTGTATCCCCTTGATGGTCAATACCTGTTATATCCCCTTGATTGTCAGTACCTGTTATATCCCCTGATTGTCAGTACCTGTTATATCCCCTTGGTCAATACCTGCTGTATCCCCTTGGTCAATACCTGTTGTATCCCCTTGATGGTCAATACCTGTTGTATCCCTTTGGTCAATACCTGTTGTATCCCCTTGATGGTGAATACCTGTTATATCCCCTTGGTCAATACCTGTTATATCCCCTTGATGGTCAATACCTGTTATACCTCTTTGATGGTAAATACATGTTATATTTCTGTTATTGTGAACACCTGTTATATCCCCTTGATGGTAAATTCATGTTGCACAATTCAGAGCTTCTATTTACTTCTATGTGATAGTGGAATATGACTTATTATCATAAATCTTGTATGTTGCATTGTGTCTAAACCTTGTCATCCTGAAACCTTTTGTGTAGCAAACCAATGTGTAGTTCCAGCCCTGCTGCAGCACCATTGTATTGCTTCACATTTCATAGCTTCACATTTCATTGCTTCACATTTCATAGCTTCACATTTCATTGCTTCACATTTCATAGCTTCACATTTCATTGCTTCACATTTCATTGCTTCACATTTCTTTGATTCCCATTCCTTTGATTCACAATGGAGATGGAATGTGTATGGTGACCTGTTTATATCCTCCAGTACCATGAGACCAAGGATCTGGACTCACTGGTGAAGTCACTGCTGAAGATACTGGACAAGCCAGACAAGATGCTTCTGCTTAGGGATGTCAGGTTAGTTGGGCAACACTTTAACACCACTTAACATGTAGGTTTTTTGGGGATGTAAGGATAGTTGGGCAACACTTTAATACCACTTAAGATGTAGGCTATTTTGGGATGTCAGGTTAGTTGGGCAACACTTTAACACCACTTAACATGCAGGCTTTTCCTCAGGGATATCAGGTTAGTTGGGCAACACTTTAGCTCCACTTAAAATGCAGGCTTCTCCTCAGGGATATCAGGTTAGTTGGGCAACACTTTAGCTCCACTTAACATGCAGGCTTCTCCTCAGGGATGTCAGGTTAGTTGGGCAACACTTTAGCTCCACTTAAAATGCAGGCTTCTCCTCAGGGATATCAGGTTAGTTGGGCAACACTTTAGCTCCACTTAACATGCAGGCTTCTCCTCAGGGATATCAGGTTAGTTGGGCGACACTTTAGCTCCACTTAAAATGCAGGCTTCTCCTCAGGGATATCAGGTTAGTTGGGCGACACTTTAGCTCCACTTAACATGCAGGCTTCTCCTCAGGAATATCAGGTTAGTTGGGCGACACTTTAGCTCCACTTAAAATGCAGGCTTCTCCTCAGGGATATCAGGTTAGTTGGGCAACACTTTAGCTCCACTTAAAATGCAGGCTTCTCCTCGGGGATATCAGGATAGTTGGGCAACCCCTTTAGCATCACTTAACATGCAGGCTTCTCATCAGGGATATCAGGTTAGTTGGGCAACACTTTAGCTCCACTTAAAATGCAGGCTTCTCCTCAGGGATATCAGGTTAGTTGGGCAACACTTTAGCTCCACTTAACATGCAGGCTTCTCCTCAGGGATATCAGGTTAGTTGGGCGACACTTTAGCTCCACTTAAAATGCAGGCTTCTCCTCAGGGATATCAGGTTAGTTGGGCAACACTTTAGCTCCACTTAACATGCAGGCTTCTCCTCGGGGATATCAGGATAGTTGGGCAACACTTTAGCATCACTTAACATGCAGGCTTCTCCTCAGGGATATCAGGTTAGTTGGGCAACACTTCAGCTCCACTTAAAATGCAGGCTTCTCATCAGGAATATCAGGTTAGTTTGGCAACACTTTAGCTCCACTTAACATGCAGGCTTCTCCTCAGGGATATCAGGTTAGTTGGGCAACACTTTAGCTCCACTTAAAATGTAGGCTTCTCCTCAGGGATATCAGGTTAGTTTGGCAACACTTTAACACCACTTAACATGTAGGCTTCTCCTTAGGGATGTCAGGTAAGTTGGGCAACATTTTAACACCACTTAACATGCAGGCTTCTCCTCAGGGATATCAGGTTAGTTGAGAAACACTTTAGCTCCACTTAACATGTAGGCATTTGGGAGATGTCATTCTAGTTGGGCAACATTTTAAGTACCACTTAAGATGTAGGCTATTTGGGGATGTCAGGTTAACATGCAGGTTTCTCCTCAGGGATATCAGGTTAGTTGGGCGACACTTTAACACCACTTAACATGCAGGCTTCTCCTCAGGGATATCAGGATAGTTGGGCAACACTCTAGCTTTAATTAAAATGCAGGCTTCTCATCAGGGATATCAGGTTAGTTGGGCAACACTTTAGCTCCACTTAAAATGCAGGCTTCTCATCAGGGATATCAGGTTAGTTGGGCAACACTTTAGCTCCACTTAAAATGCAGGCTTCTCTTCAGGGATATCAGGTTAGTTGGGCAACACTTTAGCTCCACTTAAAATGAGGCTTCTCCTCAGGGATGTCAGGATGTCCACCAGTTATTCACCACATGCTCCACATCTCTCATTGCCAGGGGTGTTATCTACCCGTACCACATAGCCCGCTTTGACAACATGGTCAACTTCTACGAGATAGAGAGATACGAAGATTTATCTACCAAGCTGCATCTGCCACTTCGTCACCGAGAGAGTATGAAGGATCGGCCCAAGAAACAACTCATGACCACCGTGTTGGGTACGTACTTTCTACCAAGTTTATTCTTATTTTCTTGGCCATCAACCCATCTAAAGATATATATGTACACATTAATTCCTTTGGCGATAATTAAACATGATTAGTGTGCATGGAAGTATGAACATAATAACTATACATAACTATGTGCAAGATAAGGTAATCAGGTATTTCTGGCAGTTCTGAGACTGCCTGTTATTAAATTTAGCACAATTAATAAGTACAAGCTTATCATTGCTGTTGGGTAGCTTTTTGTGTTTGGTTATTGTAGATAAACCATCAGATTATGGTAAGTATCTATCTCTGTATATAATGTATGCACTGCAGTCAAAGAGAAAATGCATTTCATCTTCAGCACTGTTGCTGTTACGCATTCTATATAATCTGTTAATACTTTCCCCATCTTTACATCTAACATTACAGCATAGAGGCAGCTCATGCAGTCTCAGCAGGCACTAATCCCTTCTATATCCTTTATCATCCAATAACAATTTCATGCATTAATAATGTGAGTGAGTGAGTTTTGGCTTTACGCCGCTTTTAGCAATATTCCAGCAATATCACGGCGGGGGACACCAGAAATGGGCTTCACACATTGTACCCATGTCGGGAATCGAACCCGGGTCTTCGGCGTGACGAGTGAACACTTTAACCACTTGGCTACCCGACCGCCCCTGCATTAATAATACATATGAGATGAATCAGTAATCTTGCTTAATATGCATTGCTTTTCAAAATCTTCAAGCCTCTGTTTGAACATCCTAATATATTGCAAAATATCCCTAACATCCTGGCTAAACCAGAATATATATACTAATACATATTTACTCATGACTTTACATGTGATGCCCAGGTACATCTACCTGCAGAATCTAAGTATTTCAGGAGAGTATAACATTGCTCATCTTCCCGAGGCAAGAGAGTTAACTGACTTTAAAAGTCCAGTTTCCACCCTTGCCGAACTAGGCTGGAATTACTGGGCTCAATCGTAGCGCCACCAGTGGCTATTACCAATTATGTCCCTTCTAAGCCTCTCCTAAGGACCAATCAAATTCCACCTCTCGTATCACTTGCGTTTGCTTCACACAAAATGGTTGCGCCCAGTCAGGACGATCTGATCGATAATCAAGATCTATATAGTGATAAAACGGGTCTGACATCGCGAAATGCATCAAATCACTTGAGCACCTTGATTTAAACCATGAAAAGATTTATAAAAATATCTGCTGACAACAAGTTGGTGGTGCACATGCTTTGCAAATCCTGCAATCGACCGAAATCTGCACGACAGTTTCTGAACCGGATTTCAATTTTGGTACGCGATTTTGATTGGACTGTGCATAGACTCGTTAGTCCAGCAAAAATGTAACTCCATTATACCAGCCTAGTTCGGCAAGGGTGGAAACTGGACTTTTATAGTCAGTTAACTCTCTTGCCTCGGGAAGATGAACATTGCTGGGGTATCTGTTGCCAGCATTATGAAATAGTTAACACCAATAACGTATGCATGTGCTATATTATTCAACATTAAGGCCTTATCTGCTGCACACAGCTAGTGATGCCTTGCTGGAGACATGGTTTCCCACATTTAGTGCAAACTTACAAAAGTTAGAGTGGAATTTTATAATAACTGGTCTATCCCTGAATCCCCAAACTTCAGCCCTATAAAGTAATATAGGTTTTACCTTACTGTTAAACAATTTAATAAGTACACTTGCAGATATATTTGGGACTCTGTATTGTAATCCCTTTACAGAAAGTAGTGCCTTATTTGTTTTTGAGGATACGGTCTCGGTACATTTCGTCCATGACAACTATGCAGAGACACCTAGATAGTTGTAATAATGTGATGTTTTCATCTGTTTTCCATCCATGAACGTTATTTCATAACTCCGTCGGTAACCACTGGTCCTAAACACTAGGGGGCATGGGTGGCCCAGTCGTCTAAGGCGCCGCAATTCGCTGTGCAGAGTTGCGTCCCTTGGGCACGCCAGAAACCTATGATTGTGGGTTCAATTCCCGGTTCGCCCCAATTATGTTTCTAAGGTTGTCAGCACCATACCCGTGCTCGTGGGTTTCCCCGAAATGGTAAACATCTAAGACCTGCATCACTTCGGGCTTTCCTCCCACATTAAGCTGACACGCCGCAATATAACTGGAATAATGTTAAAAGCAGCATTAAACCAAACTCACTCACTCCTAAACACTAGTATCTCCGTCATAAACAGGTTAACCTGGAATACCCATGTGGTGTTATTTCTCAGTTTTGTCATCAATTTCAACATCAGTCAGGGCTGGGCTGAATTCCTGTGGGTGATCATGTGACTCCCTTTGACATGTGACGTCACTCCAGCCCCTGGGCGTGACTGGCGGCTACTGCCCTGTTTCAAAACAACAACTTCGTCACTGTTAACACGATCATTAATAAACAACTTGCAAATCAAAGAAATGCTCGCTCTTCATTACGTCTTGCTCCATCATCATAAGTTTCAGCTTCCTCCTCTTCTCTCGCACGGTCCTAGAGAAGTCTCCACTTATCCACAGTCTAAGTCCTTCGGCTTGTTTGCGGCTTTGAATATGTCACGTCTATGGTGATCATCCAGTATCAGCGCAATAATAGCCTTTCCATTTATTATTAGATGAGCACGGTTGATGTCTATTTTAAAGTCATCTAGGTCAAGTTTGTTTCTAATAATCTCTCTTATAGTTGCCTCACGATCTTGGTACTTGACCCACTAAAGAGATTCACAAGAAGAATATGCCCTATAAGAACCCTAAGCTTACAAGGGCTGATTAGGCTCAGGACTCTTTACACAATCTTAGTAACAAATGTTATATCTGGGATAACACTTTCTTAGTAAAGTAGAGATTCTTGTACATTATTGGGTTGAGTCCCATTCAAACCCACACCGCCAGAGTGAGGCACCTAATCGCCAGACAATCTTATTGCTAAAAAAGCTTTGTGAATAGGCCGCTTGGTGGTCACAATATGTGACCTTGATCCGCTGGCACAAAGTGATCTTAGTGCAAAGGTGACCGTAACTCCCAGTCTTTAACATAGGCTTGCAATAGTTGTAGCACTAACACTGCTTTGTGCAAGTGGGCCCTGGCTGATTGTGTGTCATTGCAGCCTAACATTGTTCTTTATGCTGCTGACCACCATTACCACTCAATATTTATTTTCATTAAGGTTTGTTCTGTATACATACTGAGTGTCTGACTGGGCCCGTTCCACAAAGCAATCGTAGGAGTAAGACAATCGTAACTCCCATACTTTAACATAGAATTACGTCTGTCGTATCACTACGATCGCTTTGTGATCTTCATGCCATGTTGATCGTAAGGCTGTGATAAAGTATGGGAGTTACGACCAACTTAGCACAAAGATCGCTTTGTGGAACGGGTTCCCGATCTCTTATTGTCTGTCGTTATGCTACTGGCTCATGCCGTTCGTCATTACAGGGGTAGACAACTTCATTTAATCAAACAATTCCACCACTCAGTTTGTACTAGCAGCTCATGTCACACAAATAGTGAGTGAGTGAGTGAGTATGGTTTTACGCCACTTTTAGCAATATCTCAGCAATATCACAGCAGGGGACACCAGAAATGGGCTTAACTCATTGGACCCATGTGGGGATCCAACCCAGGCCTTTGGCGTGACATGTGAATGCTTTAACCACTGGGCTATCCAACCATCATTTGTAAAACAAATAGATCTGGGGCAAAATTAAGTAATCCCTTGAGTTACTTAGTCTTGGACTAGCAGATTAATGTCCGTGTCTAATACTACAAGGTCTGATCCCGTCTTGATTATTTGCAAGCTGCCATGTTGATATAGCTGTGTTATTGTTGATTGTAACTCTGTCAATATTGCCAATTTGTTCTTTTAACAACTTGCATTGTTCCTGGCAGAAAGAATTTGCATCAGCTCTGAAAAGATGTATACAAAATGTGAAACCGGTTGGTCCCGTGATATAGGTGTAGTTTATCAGGTTATAAATCTGGACGTGTGTCAAGCCTGAAAGGTATTTTATTTGTTATGATTAGAAATAAAGAATTGAAATTTAAGGTTTTTTCTCATCTTACAAAGCCATGTATTTTCTTTATAAAAACACAAAAATAGAAGGACAGTGGAATTTTATTATTATTTCAACCACTGACCAAAACCAAAATATACGTTAAGAATCACCACCACTGTTTTTTCCAGATGAAAATGGCCACTTCCACATCAAGACAGTGGATCAGTATGAAAGGGACAAGAGGACGGAGGCTAAAGTTCTACAAACCATGAAGACTCACTCAAGTTTCGACAGCCCCCAACCAGTTGCAGCTAAACCAGTTGCAGCTAAACCAGTTGCAGTCAAACCAGTTGCAGTCAAACCAGTTTCAGCCACACCAGTTTCAGCCACACCAGTTGCAGCCAAACCAATCCACCTCAAGGAGACGTCGGCCATTACATCCGAACACAAACCTACCACCCCTGAGCCGATCCACTGGGTGAAGCTGAACCACGTTGCAGACAGTGGACATAAGTAAGACTTTCGCCACTGTTAGTTGAGTTTTGTTGAAAGTTCATTACAACATACATGACAATAGAAATAGAACTACCTTATGACTTCTGCAGTATGCGTGTCTTCATGGACCATTTTGTTCTTGTTTTGAGGATGTTCCTGTTCTTATTTGCGGAACTGATGAAGAAACAACTAAACATTACAAATAGGCTTGTTTCGAAAAATAACACCATAACAGGTTTTGTTACATTGTTAAATCAAATGTTTTTCTTTAGGAATTATAACAACTAGCTTTTGATATCACATAGTGTTGGGGTATTTGGCTAATATCAACCCTGACAACTGTCTTATATCATATCTCTATGTCAGAATGATGAGATTGGATTGGTCCTTGTGATCTTGATAATCTAGTATGTATCCCGCCTTGTAGGGAATTAAATTTCTCAGCAGGAGAATAAATCCCTTATACCCCGCCACGATCAGGTCAGGCTGCATGTAGATTTTTGGTTTGTTGGTTGGTTTGTTGTTTAACGCCGCACTCAGCAATATTCCAGCTATATGACGGCGGTCTGTAAATAATCGGGTCTGGACCAGACAATCCAGTGATTAATATCACGAGCATCAATCCACGCAATTGGGATCGATGACATGCATAAACCAAGTCAGAGAGCCTGACGACAAGCATAGTCACCTTTAACGGCAAGCATGGGTTGCTGAAGACCTATTCTTCCCCGAAATCTTCATGGTTTTTGAGAGGCAGAATAAATCCCTTATGCCCCACTTCAAAGCAAAAAGCTGCACGAAGTTTCCGAGTCATGAAAGTCATGTTTTCTTTCAATTTTGAATTTGTTTTAATTCTTTTACAATGTCATATTATAACATGTTGGTAAGATAGATTCCGTTCTGGTGAGTAGCATAAAACCTAACAAGGGTGAATAGCTGTCAATGAGGCAGATGGACACGCGTGCCTGCATGCGTGTGCTTGTACTAGTCTGCACTTATATGCCAGCCAACAGTTTAACATGGATACCCAGTATAATGACTCCGAGCCAACCAGTCCTTGTTTTAGCCCCTTAATGCCGAGCGCCAGACAGGGTAACAACATGTACCATCTTTTAGCATAATTTGGTGTGACACGGACGGGGATAGAACCACTGACCTTCACTCTCCAGGCATATGCCTTATCCACTAGACCATGGAGGTTGTCAGAAAGAGAGACATTTACATAATTAATATTTGTTTTGGGATGGAGGTGTTGACATTTTTCATGTTTTTAGAAAGTGTACAACACCATAATCACCTCTGTGTTTTTGGCAGCCATTTGGCACGACCCAGTTGTAAATAAACTTCATGAAATAATGAAACTGTTTTGTTAAAGGAATGAAGAGGTGTGTCAAAACATTTCTTACATATCTGCCCTAGAAGTAAACTGATGAGTAGAATGTCCTTGGAACAAGAGGACGGTCCTCTCTATCATGGCCTTGTATTTTCCTCCCCCGACATTGTGTATCAATATCTTTGACTCTCAGTTCAATTATGTGTGATAATGCCTTAAACTTTAATTACCTGGTACATGAGAAAACAATATGATGTTTAAGTTACATATTACTTAATATTTTTTCAGACGCACAATTCGGCAAATTTTCAATAATAAGGATGGCATTCCACACCTAAATTCCACGGTTGTGTTTGTCCCTAAGCTAAAGAAAACTTTAGGTATGCTTTCCAAAATCTCTTGGAGTTGGGATAGCTTGGTTTTAGTCACGAAGTCCAGCTTTTCATAGAATAAAGAGTTCTTTTTGTATCAGTTTGTGGAATTACCTGTGAGATAACCTTCCCTATCATTTTTGTTATGCTAGGGATCATAGAACGGTATCTGGTCCTTCATCTTACATCAGTGTAATCAGAATTGTTGGCTTATATTATACCTAGTGACAGGTACTACAGTTTGTGGTCTGTTTTGATGTTTATCCTGCCCAGTAACGAGTTACCTCCCTTTGAATGAGGCACCATTTTAGCCAGTGAGCTGTTATTGACCAGCTGTCTTATCAAAACCTATAGAAGTCAGCGGGTTGGCAAGGATAGCCATTGTGACTTCAAAGAATTAAATGATGTTGTTTGTGACATATTTAATGTAAACTGAAATTTGATTTAATTGTCTTACAAAAATATTTTACTGAAAATTAGTCTGTATAGTTTGTAGTGATGATCAGTGTGGGTACCACATTGTCTGCATAATGTTGACCTGCCAGAGGAGTGGCTAGGATCACCACTTCTGTTAAGCCAATCACATGGATCCACCCCAAGCCATATCCATAACGCTCCTCCAAAAGAAGTCCCTATGTTTCTCAGGGTAGCTAGTGTATTCAGGGATGAGAAAGATATTTTCCTTTTCAGCTGAAACTTCTCTTCAATGGAGCGTTGCCCATAATTTGGGGGTGTATATGGGGGTTCAGGGGGGCTTGGAAGCCATCAGATTTTAACAAATTTATGGTCATTAAAATTCGCTGAAATTCACGGATCTGCAGAAGATTCTCACCCCTGTGTATTTGGAGGTTGTCTTTGATCAGTAGAACATGGTTTGACACATCTCTAATTCCTCTAACATTGTCATGATTTTGAAGTCAAAGTTTTTACAAATGGAAATCTGGACACAAGAGAACTCTTTTTCTAATGCTTTAAACAGGATTTGGATTTCTTACAACTAGAGAATTCTAGAGATTTTTCTTTGTAGATTTTTAGTATGAATTCCTGGGTTGTTGTTGTTGAAGTTTCAGTCAACGCCTTTCTTTGTTGTCTGTGTGACCTTCACCTTATTGACTGAACAATTTGTTTGTTTTTTACATAGTGTATAATCCCGTCATCGGCTGCTCATTAATCAGCAAAACACACACACATTGTGAAATTCTGTAATTAATGGATGTAATTTTCAAATAATCAAGATCAGATATTTGTGAATGAAATTGTGCGGTGTTTTGCTGTTAAGAATGAGCTCCTACTTTCTGTAGTTTGCTTTTTCATAACATTTTACATTCAACCTACTCCTTGCATCATGTACACACGGCCATCTTATCCTAACATATTGATTTTGTGTCATCTCAGATCACAATGTTTGCAAACAATGTTAACAGGTGGATTATCTTCCACACAATTATATCATACTGTAAGGGCTGGGACAGGTAACTCAGGTACCTGCGATGGGTGGGTACTGAGTAGGACCCAGGTACCCACAGGACTACCCAGACCTGTTGTTAGTCCGAGATATATTGTTTAATGACAAAAATTATCTAAACCTATGGTTACACTACGTGTCTCTAATGTTCACATTTCTTTCTGACTATGCACCCATTCCTTCTGACTTTTATATGTTTGAATAAAAATAAAACTTCAATGTATGCATGACTAGATCGTTTTATACATGTATAATACATTTTGTCAGGGCTACGGTCAAACTATTCCCAATCGGACATTTTGTACCTATCTCTTGAGACCGACAGCGTGTACCGTACCCAGGTAGGGTTGGGTAATAGTGGGTGGGTACCCGGGTAGTAAATTTGGACTCGTCCCAGTCCTACATACTATAAGTCATCATTAGATGCAGCTTGTAAACTCAAGCATGTACATGCACAACTGAACTGCTTTTTGCTTCAAGATGGTTTAACACAGTATATTTCTATATTAAATCAAACTGCTATATCATATACAGAGGTATTTACCCCTTTCAGGACTCCGCTTGAGAGGGGGCCTTATCGGTCAAGTTTTTCTACCAGTTCGTATCGATGAGGTGCTCGTGGACAGTGCAGCTGCAGATGAAGAGAAACTCCAGGTGACTTGTCTCCCTTTGCTATTTCAAATTAAATCCCAGCACAAGGGGCACAGTTTGGTTGGATTTGTCCCGTCGTAGGGTCCTGCCATTTGATATTTTGGATTTTGTGCAACCAAATAAATTGTACTCGAAAAGTCTCAACAACAAAAATTTACACTTCACAAAAAAAGTTCATGCCACAAAAGAACATTGTTGCAAGGTGTTTTTCTTTTCTTTTTAAATCAGGCTCATATGTTTATATAAAAAATATCTTGTTTTGTTGCTAAAGGTGAAGTAAAATTTGATACATACTCCCATGGGATAGTTATATACATTGGGATTGTATACATGGAAAAGTTGTATACATGGGATAGTTGTATACATATCGGGATTGTATACATGGGATAGTTGTATACATGGGGATTGCATACATGGGATAGTTGAATACATGGGGATTGTATACATGGGATAGTTGTATACATGGGGGATTGTATATATGGGATAGTTGTATACATGGGGGATGGTATACATGGGATAGTTGTATACATCAGGGATTGTATACATGGGATAGTTGTATACATCAGGGATTGTATACATGGAATAGTTGTATACATGAGGATTGTATACATGGGATAGTTGTATACATGGGGGTTGTATACATGGAATAGTTGTATACATTGGATAGTTGTATACATGGGGATTGTATACATGGGATAGTTGTATACATGGGGATTGCATACATGGGATAGTTGAATACATCGGGATTGTATACATGGGATAGTTGTATACATGGGGGATTGTATACATGGGATAGTTGTATACATGGGGGATTATATACATGGGATAGTTGTATACATGGGGGATTGTATACATGGGATAGTTGTATACATGGGGGATTGTATACATTGTAGTTGTATATATGGGACTTTGTATACTTGTATACATGGGACAGTTGATTAATGGGATGCAGATTTGTATAGACAGTGATGTACGGTGTGTGTATTTCAGCCTGGTGTGACGTTGATATCGGTGGACAGTCAGAGTCTGGGTGGCTACACTGTGGAGGACACAGAGGAACTGCTGGAGAAGGCATTCCACAGCAAGGCCACGACCATGATCAAGCTGGAGATCAACACAGACAAGCGTATGGCTTGACTCACCTCAATGTGTGCTCATGAACAAACTGTGGGAGACAACTGCAGCAGACGTCAAATATTATGTAGTCTGAAGGGCTTGGAAAAGTTACCGGTATTTATTTTTCCCTGGTCAGTTGAAGAGAGATTATATTCAGACACGGACAAGCGTATGGCTTGACTCACCTCAATGTGTGCTCATGAACAAACTGTGGGAGACAACTGCAGCAGATGTCAAATATTATGTAGCCTGAAGGGCTTGGAAAAGTTACTGGTATTTATTTTTCCCTGGTCAGTTGAAGATAGATTATATTCAGACACGGACAAGCGTATGGCTTGACTCACCTCAATGTGTGCTCATGAACAAACTGTGGGAGACAACTGCAGCAGACGTCAAATATTATGTAGTCTGAAGGGCTTGGAAAAGTTACCGGTATTTATTTTTCCCTGGTCAGTTGAAGAGAGATTATATTCAGACACGGACAAGCGTATGGCTTGACTCACCTCAATGTGTGCTCATGAACAAACTGTGGGAGACAACTGCAGCAGACGTCAAATATTATGTGGTCTTAAGGGCTTGGAAGAGTTACCGGTATTGATATTTCCCTGGTCAGTTGAAGATGGATTTGATTCAAACCTTTTTAAAGGAGACTTGTGACACTGTGAACACCATTACATGGTTTACTCCTCCGCCTAACTGTTCTGCCTCTGTGTATCATGGCAACCAAGGTGAAGGTCATTTGAAGCATTCCATTATATGACACTGTAGTGATTAGCATGTCACGAGGCATCCAGTGCCAAGGAACATGTCATGAGGCATCAAGTGCCAAGGAACATGTCATGAGGCATCGATTGCCAAGGAACTTGTCATGAGGCATCGAGTGTCAAGGAACATGTCATGAGGCATCAAGTGCCAAGGAACGTGTCATCAGGCATCAAGTGCCAAGGAACATGTCATGAGGCATCAAGTGCTAAGGAACATGTCATCAGGCATCAAGTGCCAAGGAACATGTCTTCAGGCATCAAGTGCCAAGGAACTTGTCATCAGGCATAGATTGCCAAGGAACATGTCATGAGGCATCAATTGCCAAGGAACTTGTCATGAGGCATCCAGTGCCAAGGAACGTGTCATGAGGCATCAAGTGCCAAGGAACTTGTCATGAGGCATTGATTGCAAAGGAACATGTCATGAGGCATCAAGTGCCAAGGAACATGTCATGAGGCATCAAGTGCCAAGGAACATGTCATGAGGCATCGAGTGTCAAGGAAAATGTCATGAGGCATCGAGTGCCAAGGAACATGTCATGAGGCATCAAGTGCCAAGGAACTTGTCATGAGGCATCAAGTGCCAAGGAACTTGTCATGAGGCATCAAGTGCCAAGGAACGTGTCATGAGGCATCAAGTGCCAAGGAACTTGTCATGAGGTATCAAGTGCCAAGGAACTTGTCATGAGGCATCGATTGCAAAGGAACATGTCATGAGGCATCAAGTGCCAAGGAACGTGTCATGAGGCATCAAGTGCCAAGGAACTTGTCATGAGGCATCAAGTGCCAAGGAACTTGTCATGAGGCATCAAGTGCCAAGGAACATGTCATGAGGCATCAAGTGCCAAGGAACTTGTCATGAGGCATCAAGTGCCAAGGAACATGTCATGAGGCATCCAGTGCCAAGGAACTTGTCATGAGGCATCAAGTGCCAAGGAACATGTCATGAGGCATCAAGTGCCAAGGAACTTGTCATGAGGCATACATTGTCGGGGCATGTGATATGTGATAGCATCCTGTTCAACAAGGTGTATACCTACCTACATGTTTAACCCTACCTAGTGAGTATAGTACTACAACCAGCCCATCTGTGTCAACCCATGTGTCAACCAATCCTGTATATGTGTTAACCAATGTGTCAACCAATCCTGTATGTGTTAACCCATGTGTCAACCAATCCTGTATGTGTGTTAACCCATGTGTCAACCAATCCTGTATATGTGTTAACCCATGTGTCAACCGATCCTGTATGTGTTAACCCATGTGTCAACCGATCCTGTATGTGTGTTAACCCATGTGTCAACCAATCCTGTATGTGTGTTAACCCATGTTTCAACCAATCCTGTATGTGTGTCAACCCATGTGTGTAATACTACCCTTCAACCATCTGTGTGTCAACCCACGTGTCTGTCAACCAATGTGTGTCGACCTGTCCCATGTGTCTTCCAACCATATGTGTCAACCACATCATGGGTGTCAACCCACGTGTCTGTCAACCAATGTGTGTCAACCTGTCCCATGTGTCTTCCAACCAATGTGTCAACCACATAATGGGTGTCAACCAAAGCATGAGTTACAGAAGTGTAACCCGACCTGTGTGTTACCCTACACAGTGTAACAGTGTCAAGGTGTTGTACAGGTTCTTAGACTATGTTAGATACAGTAGTTAGAATTTACCCCCAGCAAACATGGTTCATGGGCACGTTACCATAGTGATGGCACATACAGTGGTCATGTGTTACCATAGTGATGGCACATACTGTGGTCATGCGTTACCATAGTGATGAAACATTCCGTGGTCATGCGTTACTATAGTGATGACACATACAGTGGTCATGTGTTATCATAGTGATGAAACATTCACTGGTTATGTGTTACCATGGTGATGATGTATTCAATGGTCATGTGTTACCATATTGATGACACTTATGATCATGTGTTACCATAGTTATATGGAGGAACAGTTGAAACAAAACACAAGTAGAAGGGATTAAGAATATGTACACCATAGGAAGGCTCTATTTCATTGACCAGAAAATGTGTACCTATTTTGGGAGGAGTGAGTGAGTGAGTATGGTTTAACCACTAGGCTACCCGACCGCCCCTATTTTGGGAGGATACAAGCATTTCCCAACAGTGAGAGAATCCACCTTCTTCAGCCAACCCACACCCCACACCAAGTTTCCACGTGATAGGCAGCTCCTGTTCTAGCCTTGGGTCCAATATAAACCACTCGGGAACCACATTTCCTCAATTCCAGAGACCGTGTGTCGGGTGTCCGCTTCGTTAGGTACCTGGGACCATTGTCAGAAAAATAAATCGTTATAGGTCGCGACAGAAATATTAAAGATGGCTCATCATTATTCCACTGCCGGAAAAAACATGAAAGATTATTTCATCTATCGGTATCTAAATATTTGTATTTGCTTGTTGGGGCTTTTCTTCATATTCAAAAAGGAATGCTACCCAGGTTTTGGAGATGTCTTTATTTATGTTATTTGTTGAAGACCAGAGGTGAAATCTTGTCATGTGTCGAGGCTTGAATCAGTGAATCAAGAGGTGGTTGAGTCCAGTGACGTCAGAAGTCATGAATCATATGTAAATACATTCCATGTTAATTGAGATAGCATTTATTGTCTTGAAAAGTGTGGTGTATCATACTAACATGAAGATATTAATGACATTTACTCACCAAAGTTACGGATCATGAATATTTGGGGGATATTGTTATGAATTTGTGTGCTCAGTCTATAAATCCCCAAAATATTCAGGATCCCTGAAACATTTTGTTCAATGTGTACGTATCATATATTTAGTCATGTGTTAGTGTGTAGTGTTCTGAGTTTGATATTGTCCTCATTAACTCAGCATATTACTGAACAGGTGCTTGAGACGAAGGTGCTGTAGTTACCATAGCAACCAGATGTTCAGCTTGAAGTCACAGTAATATGCATTTCAGGAATTAGTAAAACAAGCAAAAAAGGAGCATATTCATATTTAGAACCTTTATCACCAACATTATTGGGTTGTGCTGCTGACTTGACAAGTATATATTCTTCAAAGAAATTCTTATATTTTCTGTATGAATTGTTGCATTATATCATTCCATGAAATTTGTGCAAATTGTTGCAAACATGATAAATTTATTTATTGATTTGTGTTTTCTGCACATTCCATGATTTACATTTTCAGGGTGGTGGGTGTTATTCCTTGCAATAAAAGTCGGGGAAGTGTTGACATGTTATGTTGTTATTGTGTAGAAGGATCGGCTGGGATATCTGATTGACACTTCAACTCAATAAGATCAGACACGTTTCTCTGATCAGGTACCTCTCTCCAGGTCTTGATCAAATTGGAGGAAAAGATCTGAATATAAATGTTATCAAAATATTATCATGCTCTTCTTATCTATCACTTTGCTTTCCCAGTCAGCTGACAAATATTTACAAACGTCGAATCATGATAATTTGAGGAGTCTTTTCTTTCATGGTGTCTACCAACATTGGCCAAGATTTGACAACGCCCCTTTTTGGCCTGCTTGAAATGTTAAATCTTAAAGTTACGGGAATGTTCATAATACTGTTAACTCGCCTTTTTATTTCTGTCACCACGTCAAGAACCAGGTTAGAATTGGTCTTCAGCATGCTTGTCATAAGAGGCAACAGACAGGATTGGGTGGTCCAGCTTGCTCATCAGCATGCTTCTCATAGAGAGGCGACAGACAGGATTGTCTGGTCCAGCTTGCTGACTTGGTTCATGGTTGGCATCATATCCCAATTGTTGTTGTGTCGATGTTCATGATGCCAGTCACCGGATTGCCTGGTCCAGACTCAATTATTTACAGATTGCCTTTATATGTACAGAACTACAAATACTTCCTGAAAAAACGCTAAAATCAGTCTTTTTCTGGAGTTGTGTATATCTCTTTAATAAAGCTTATCCAGTAGGACAAACAGACTACGGTACTTATCATGTCCTTGTTGTTTCAATAATAATAAAATGGATAGGAGAAAAAAGATTTGTTTGTTTGTTGTTTAATACCGCACTCAGCAATATTCCCACTATATGACGGTTGTAAATAATTGAGTCTGGACCAGACGTTGGGAGCATCGATCCACACAATTGGGATAGGATGACATACAGCAACCAAGTCACCTGACCACCCGATTCCGTTAGTTGCCTCTTGGAACACAGCTCAGTTAGATTTCTTTCTTTTGCTCATTTAACAGTGAGTGAAGCATGGACCACCTAACCAGTCCGTGATCGCTCAGCTGCCAGATCATGGAGGCTCTACTTTGCACCAAGGCCAAGGCTGATTAACCAAGAATGTTAACAACAGCTATTCCATAAACTAACAAACAAATTTGAAGCATTCATAAAATATCATCTGTCAACCCCTAAACTTTATTATGTTTGCTTGATGTGAAAAAATCTGATTTCAGTTTCATGAATTTACCCACATTTGTTGTTCTTCCTACTCCTACCAATGATTAGATCCACACCATATCAAACCCCAACTATCACGGCAGCTTGCATCACGCGGCTTGCTTCAAGGCAGCTTGCATCACGGCAGCTTGCATCATGGCGCCTTGCATCATGGTGCCTTGCATCACGGCACCTTGCATCACGGCACCTTGCATCATGGCACCTTGCATCACGGCACCTTGTATCACGGCGCCTTGCATCACGGCAGCTTGCATCACTCCACCTTGTATCACGGCACATTGCATCACGGCACCTTGCAATCTGCCATCATCAACATCAGCCACACACAATCAGCTACACACTGTCAACGTGTTGTACAGGTTCTTAGAACAACCAACAACAAGGATTCTATTCTTCTAATCTGGAAGGGGTTCAGGGTAGCCAAGTGGTTAAAGTGTTTGCTCATCACACCGTAGACCCAAGTTCGTTTCCTCACATGGGTACAATGTGTGAAGTCCACGATGTTACTGGAATAATGGTGAGGGTGGCGTACCCTGGGACTCCGTGGTGGCTACCTTGCCCTGATTCTCTTGTTTTTGCCTTGGAATTCCAACAACAATGAAGACAAACAATAATATATAGTATTTATTAGCATTGTTACATCACCCCCTGTGATTGCACCTGTTCAGGGCACCTGTCCAAGGCACGTGTCTTGGGTACCCACACATGCATCTAACCACAATACTATCATGAGTAGCACCATCTAGGATTGGTTATATCTGCACTATGTAATGACCATCTAAGCACTCATATATCATATATATATACTGTATGTTAAATACCCATCTTGTAACATCTAGTGAAAGGGTCAGAATAATGGCAAGAGGTTTTCATTGTCTGAACAACCCGTGAAGATCAGGGTCTTCAGGAACCCATGCTTGTCGTAAAAGGCAACTAACGGTATGCTTGTCGTAAGGGGCGACTAACGGAATCGGGGGGTCAGGCATGCTGACTTGGTTAATGCATGCCATCAATTGCATAGATCGATGCTCATGATATCAATCACTGGATTGTCTGCTCGATTATTTACAGACCGCCGTCATGTAGCTAGAATATTGCTGAGTGCGGCATTTAAAAACAAACAAACAAATCTTTGTCTTAACAGATTAGTTGACTCCTAGAGAGGATGAAGACACTAACACCAAATCTTTTAGAAGTTGAGAGAGCTGTCACAATTAAAGCTTCCCCCTTCATATCCCATCCTATTCAGTTTCAAAATAACGGATCCATTTGGCATCTAACTTGGAAAGACGCTGAAGGCTCCAGTTGCATCAATCCCTGCAATGACGATTCAGCATTTCAGTTTTCCCTGTCCTGACAGAGACCTCTCCCATCCCTCATCACATAAATAATGGACAATGATCACAACTTGTAATACTGATCAATAATTTAGGAAGTTTAGAAATGACTATCATGTACACTACAACCCCTTTCTCGTGAAACATAATATTCCATGCGTTTGTCGTGTTAAACATGGACCAATAAATAATCCCGATGTGGACCAATCAGTCAATTAAACATGGACCAATAAATAATCCTGATGTGGACCAATCAGGAATTTAAAGGAGTGTCAATAGATCCTTTAAACATGGACCAATAAATAATCTTGATGTGGACCAATCAGTCAATTAAACATGGACCGATAAATAAAACCCATATGTGGACCAATCTGTAATTTAAAGGAGTGTCAATAGATCATTTAAACATGGACCAATAAATAATCTTGATGTGGACCAATCAGTCAATTATACATGGACCAATAAATAATCTCGATGTGGACCAATCAGTCAATTAAACATGGACCAATAAATAATCTAAAGATGGACCAATCAATCATTTAAAGACAGTCCAGTAGATCATGAAAAAGCCGTCCAAACAATCATCTAAAGGCGGACCAATAGATCATTTAAAGGTGGTCCAACAGATCATTTAAAGGTGGTCCAATCAATAATTTAAAGATGCACCAATCAATCATCTGAGGTGGTCCAATCAATAACTTAAAGGTGGACCTATCAGTCATTAAAAAGTGAACCAAAACATCATCTAAAGCTGACCAATCATTTATTTTAAGGTGGCCCAGTGTCCAAAAGTAGACACTGGCCATGGCAAGCAATCAGTGGAATGGTTCCAGTCCAACATTTGAATAGAATAGGGTAGATATTCTTTGAGGGTGTGATTAAGCTGTTTTTAAACACATTGTTCAGCAGCATTTCAATTATATTGATGGCATGTCCGGGTATGTGGTTACATGCCAGAACAAGCGAACATGAAGCAGAGAGATATTTACCACTCACGTGAAACTCACCAGCATGGATACACTTCATTATCAACTCTCAGCTTTGAATCAAACAAACTACTTAGAATTGATTGAGTGAGTAAGTTGGGTTTAACGCCGCTTTTAACAGTATTCCAGTTATATCTCAGCGTGTCAGCTTAATCTGGGAGGAAAGCCAGAGGTGATGCAGGTCTCAGACGTTTATCATTTCGGTGAAACCCACGAGCATGAATATGGTGCTGAAAAACCTAGAAACATAATCCGGGGGAACAGGTATTTGAACCCACAATCATAGGAAACCACAGTCCAAGGAACGCAACTCTGCACAGCGAATCACGGCCCCTTAGACAACTGGGGAGCCCGTGCCCCCTTAGAATTGAGAGAACACCAGGCATATTGTGATCTGCTGCCATTTTGTGGTGGCCATTTTGAAAAAGGATGGATTGCTAGTATTTCATAAAACATGTGAGAATGAAGGTTTGTATTGGAATATAGCAAATTCAAGCATAGCGCCCAAAACAGAAATCATTCTAGTGCATGTGTCCTGCTACACTGGCAAATAAGAGTTACTTCCCTTTGTCCAGTTTGACACGATCTCTTGGATCCAAAAGTTAACACCTGACCAAGTTTCTGATTCAAATGCCATCATCTTTGCTTTTGCTGTACTAATTACTGTCAGGAAGGCTCCTATGGCAGCAGACTGACAGCCACTTGCAGACACACTATCTAACTGGTTATAAGATATAGCTGTGTCAGCTTACAACACCACAGTGTACTGTTAGACTGCATCAGTGAAAAACCTATCCAAGTCCACAAGGGCAATAAAATAGATCTTGCTTCCCTACATATATATTCCAAAGAAAAGAAATCTATTCTTTCTGGGTGTACAGGCTTATTTTGTACACCCCATCTGTACGCCCTGCTAATGACATTCTGTACGCCCTGCTAATGACATTCTGTATGCCCTGCTAATAACATTCTGTACACCCTGTTAATGACATTCTGTATGCCCTGCTAATGACATTCTGTATGCCCTGCTAATGACATTCTGTATGCCCTGGTAATGACATTCCGTACGCCCTGCATGTAGCTCACAGTTTTGGTGAATAACATCATGGTATTAGTCCTTTTGCAAGTGTCCTTGCAGACAAGCTTTGAATTCAGCACTTGTGTTTGGATGTCCCGATCTTGGTCTTCTTGTTGTCTCCGCACATGATTGATGCGATGTAACGGTCCTGCTGTCTCTGCACCTCCAACTCGCTGACCCTGTACTTGCTGACCCGGGCCTGTTCCCGTAACTTGCGCTCCAGGACCCGGATCTCCTCCTGCCTCTGATGTAGCACACCCTCCTTCTCACTGCACTGCCGGGCGATATCTGACAATACACACCACTACATCACCACGTACTTCTCACTACACTGCCGGCAAAATATTGGACAATACACACCACTACATCACCACCTCCTTCTCGCTGCACTGCCGGGCGATATCTGACAATACACACCACTACATCACCACCTCCTTCTCACTACACTGCCAGGCGATATCTGACAATACACACCACTACATCACCACTTCCTTCTCGCTCCCCTGCCGGGCGATATATGACAATACACACCAATACATCACCACCTCCTTCTCACTGCACTGTCGGGCAATATTGGACAATACACACCACTACATCACCACCTCCTTCTCACTGCACTGCCGGGCGATATCTGACAATACACACCACTACATCACCACCTCCTTCTCACTACACTGCCGGGTGATATCTGACAATACACACCACTACATCACCACCCCCTTCTCACTGCACTGCCAGGCGATATCTGACAATACACACCACTACATCACCACGTACTTCTCACTGCACTGCCGGGTGTTATCTGACAATACACACCACTACATCACCACCTCCTTCTCACTGCACTGCCGGGTGATATCTGACAATACACACCACTACATCACCACCCCCTTCTCACTGCACTGCCGGGTGATATCTGACAATACACACCACTACATCACCACCTCCTTCTCACTGCACTGCAGGGCAATATCGGACAATACACACCACTACATCACCACCTCCTTCTCGCTGCACTGCCGGGCGATATCTGACAATACACACCACTACATCACCACCTCCTTCTCACTGCACTGTCGGGCAATATCGGACAATACACACCACTACATCACCACCTCCTTCTCACTGCACTGTCGGGCAATATCGGACAATACACACCACTACATCACCACCTCCTTCTCACTGCACTGCCGGGCGATATCTGACAATACACACCACTACATCACCACCTCCTTCTCACTGCACTGTCGGGCAATATCGGACAATACACACCACTACATCACCACCTCCTTCTCACTGCACTGCCGGGCGATATCTGACAATACACACCACTACATCACCACCTCCTTCTCACTGCACTGTCGGGCAATATCGGACAATACACACCACTACATCACCACCTCCTTCTCACTGCACTGCCGGGCGATATCTGACAATACACACCACTACATCACCACCTCCTTCTCACTGCACTGCCGGGTGATATCTGACAATACACACCACTACATCACCACCCCCTTCTCACTGCACTGCCAGGCGATATCTGACAATACACACCACTACATCACCACGTACTTCTCACTGCACTGCCGGGTGATATCTGACAATACACACCACTACATCACCACCTCCTTCTCACTGCACTGCAGGGCAATATCGGACAATACACACCACTACATCACCACGTCTAGGGTTCACGCAACCATGTTGGAAACAGAGCCATGGTCTTCTGCATGCAAGAAAACATTTTATCCACTGGACTTACCACTGTTTCTGAATTAATTGATTTGAAATTGTAATATTGGGACAGATAATATGTACACCCTTCAGTCATCTGCATATCAAACAATGAAATAACTTTCTTTAATCTCATATCTCCATGAACAGCTGCTGACTGACACAATTCACAACGCACCTTGACATCTGTTTTCCAGCTGCTGATTTTTCGATGTTTCTTTTATTGCCTTTGTTTTCAGACTTCCAAATCTTAAAAATAAAACAGCAGTTGAAAATAAAATTACAATGTCACACAGTGGCTGTTTACAGTACAGATGATTCATTGTTGTTGCTACCAACATATAAATACTTGAGTGAGTGAGTGAGTGAGTGAGTGAGTGAGTGAGTGAGTGAGTGAGTGAGTGATCGAGTGAGTGAGTGAGTGAGTGAGTGAGTGAGTGAGTGAGTGAGTGAGTGAGTGATATACTTCCATAACATCATGTCATGTCCACAACAAAAAATTTCACAATTACACAATTCTTTCTATGTGAGGCTCAGAACTTTTATCAATCCACCCTCGTATCAATATGGATTGCTATAAGTTATAAGAATGCTACCATATTGTAAATTTCAGTGCATAGTGGCTGTTCATCACTTTTGTTGATTTTTCACTAAAGAAGGCTGATGTGGCCAAATATATTTTTGTTTGTAATAAACTTCACATTTCATCCTCAACTTGTGTAATTCTTACAGTATTGGGACATGTATCGTCACCTCCAAGTTTAATACTTTTATTGACCTGTGTTGATATGTATGATATCAAAAGACACATGGGAGTGATTCTCTACCTATGCACCAGTGGGTGGGGTGGGTGGAAGAGGGGTGGGGGTGGGGGTGGGGGTGGTGGGGTGTAGAGGAGGGGTTTGTGTGTGTGTCAGGCACTAAGCCGATTGATGACTATAATGGTCAAGTTGCACATTAGTGCTTCAGTCATTAACATATGACTGAGGGATGACCCTCAGAGACATTGGAGACAATCGCCTTGGTAAGGTTTTATGCTGCTTTTAGCAACATTCCAGTGATATTTCTAACCATGATGAGGAAGCCAGTTAGTGAGAGAATGAGTTTGGTTTAAGGCTGATTTGAACAGTACTTCACGACTTGTCATCTTCATGTGGGAGGAAGGCCAAAGTGATGCAGATTTTACGCTTTGCCACTTCTGTGAAACTTATTAAAATGGCTATGGTAATCATGGTAATGACAAATCAAGGATCACAATCAGGGCAAAATCTGGGATTCGACACCACGGTCATAGGATCATGGTACACCTAAGGGATGCAACTCTGCATGGCAAATTGTTGGACCTTAAATAACCATAACTGGGCCACCTGTACTCAATTGGTTAGATTATTAACAATTTTGCACCAATATTACAGTAGAGGCACAGAAATGATGCTCCACACAGTGTACCGACTTGGGGAGTAAAACATGGGTCCTCAGCTTGACCCTTGATGAACCAACACATTAACCACTGGCCTACCCCACCACCCCAATAAGTGAAAGGCAGGTGGTAGTCCAGCTTCCTCCTTCGTGACATTTCAACATGATCTGTGCCAAATTTCACCTACGCATTTTCAAAAGCAGTTTTCTCCCTCTCAAGCTGCTTGGTGAGGACTTCTATCTGACCAAGGGCGAACTCCAGCTTATCTGTCACCTCCATCAGCTTCCCCTTGGTCTGGGCATGCTCCAGCTTCTCTGTCTGAAGAACAGCGTGAGGCTTTGATATATGCTACATACTGATCCACACATCTGTCACATATGTTTCATTAGGTCCCAACACATCTGTTACACCTCCCGACTCCCATCTGTTACATACCTCCCGACTCCCATCTGTTATAGAAGTCATATACCTCCCCCAACATGTGTCAAATGATCTATATCCCCTACACATCTGTCAGCATTATACACCAACCTACACATAGGACCTACACATATCTGACATATTAGTGACATATCTCCCTACACATTCATGACATGTATGTCATATGACTCCACATATGACATATTAGTGACATATCTCCCAACACATTCATGACATATATGTCATATGACCCCACATATCTGACATATAAGTGACATATCTCCCTACACATTCATGACATATATGTCATATGACCCCACATATCTGACATATAAGTGACATATCTCCCTACACATTCATGACATATATGTCATATAACCCTACATATCTGACATATAAGTGACATATCTCCCTACACATTCATGACATATATGTCATATGACCCCACATATCTGACATATTAGTGACATATCTCCCTACACATTCATGACATACATGTCATATGACTCCACTGATCTGACATATTAGTGACATATCTACCTACACAAAACACATTCATAACATATATGCCATATGACACTGTACATCCTATGTGTTATACATGTGTCAAAAACATCATGTCAGAGTTGATGTAATACATGATAGTCATGACAGCAGGAGATAAACAAGTTCAAACCCGCAGACAAACATTCTGGAGTTTGAAACTTACCTCATAATCATTCAAAACCTTTTCATAATCATCACGTGGTACATAATCTTCCAACATGGACACCTGTAAAACATATTTACATAAATCAGCATTTGGGTTCAAATTTTGGAACAAAAAAAACACTCACTGTACAAACATAACTCTGCCTGTCCATACAACAAGGTATAATGTCAACCCTTAAACACATTAAATGTCACTTGATAAACCATGGTTACTCTCACAAACACAAAGCAACTAATAACATAGGCTATAAGCAGACAATTAACAACTAGGCCCTTTCTTCCTAAGCATGGACAAATATGTACATTCATGTAGCATTTTCATAGATAACTTCAAGATACCACATCCTAATGATGATGTGTGTACTTGTCATGTTTGGAAGACTTGAAACTTCAAAGGTAGGGCTGGCTGAAGAGATCGATAATCGGAATTATTGTGGATGGGAAGATGTATTAATGATAATCGATGTGAAAATAGTGTCCTCGATAATATCTTACATTAACCATGTTAACTATTGTGATGAAATAAAGTCTTAAGTTACCGAAGCAGACTTGTTTTTGTCCATTGCTAAAGACGGAAAGCAACTGATTATATCTTAAATGTCAACAAAGTAATCCATGCACAAATGTGTCACCACTCCCCAGTGATGTGAAATAGGATGTTCTGCCTCTGAGCTTCTTGTATATTAGCTGAAAGTTGCATCTCTTATATTTATCGATAATTGATCAGTATTTAGTAAACGATTATTGATCTCTATATCGATAGCCAGCCCTGTTCATAGGAGATAACTTCTTCATCATGATTAATGTTTCTAAAAAATATTTAAAGGTTGTCACGGTGACATGTACATGAAGTGTACAAGCAAAAACAAAGGTGTGTTCCACATTTTTCCTTATTCGGTTCCTTTCTTAATAAATAAAGCATCTTCAAGCTGCTATTTTACTCAGGAAATAAGTTTTTTTGACTAGTACATGACACTTGCAAGATCACATGAGAGAAGGTATTATCCATATCAGAACCTGCAGTTCTTGCATCTTTGACTGATGATCTTCTCTGGACATGAGATTCTCCCTGATGAAGGACTCCTGCTGGCTGACCTGGCAATGATATCACAGATAGAGGGATGGGTTTAGCCCCTTTGAACGATATATCAGTTATCTTCACGGCATGTTAACTCAATTATGTCATCATAGTCAATGTGGGAAGACAGCAGAAAGTCATATTGTTACCACTTTGGTGAAACCCACAGGCATGGCTAGGGTGCACACTAGGGGTGACTATTGGTCTGGAAATCACTATTGTGATAAATGTTGATATTGAAAGAAACTATTGCGATAACTATTGATATTGCAAGCAACTATTGCGATAAATATCGATAGTTTTCAGTGTATCATTATAGATGGATTTTAGAGTTGAACTAAACCTTGGAACTGAAGTTCCTTTGAGTGTGATAACCTTAAAAACAAATAAAAATTAAAGTTTGAGATATGACTGATTTGTTTTTTCTTTACCCTAATAATCTAATAATTCAAGAAAAAGAAACTTCCACATTACCATGTGTAAATTACTACCCCTCATGATCAAAAGAAAAACAAATTTAAACAACATTGCATGTATTTTATTGATATGGTAAATACAATCGAAACTATCGGTATTCCTAACTGAAATCGATACTATTGATCGGAAACTGATTTAACAATCGATTTATTGACTTTAAGTGCTTACCAATAGCAATATATCGATATTTTGATTTATCGTGACACCCCTAGTGCACACTAACCAAATCAACTTATGAAATGGTGTTAACATCGCGCCCAAGATTACTGCACTTATGAAGTGATGTGCATGCACTAACAATATGTTACCCCTTAACATTTGTTCTGATGGATTCCCTAGACCAGGAGTTATGTTCCTGTGGATTTTTTTTCTCATCATTTTGTTCCACAGGAACAAAACTCCTGGTATATTCAATCCACCAGAACAAATGTTAAGGGAGAACATATTGTCGGGTCATAGGTTTTCGGACGACCACATTGATGGCGTTTACTCTCGCTATAACAGGGGATGTAGCATCACACAGACATTGTAAATACTTAGATGATGGCTAATTCTTTGGAGAAAGTTGTCTTTTATACAATGTTATAAGTGAATGAGATGTTTACAGTTGTTCATGTGACTAGAGAGAAAATATGAATGTTTCTTATGTGTCCGAAAACCCATAATGACTTGGGGACATATACATTTATACATGCATATCACAATAAGAGTGAAATCATATTGAACGCTCTGTTAAATCCAATGTCACCTCATCTTATAGAATAGGGCCCTGGTCCCAGACTACTGTGCATGTTTACCAAAACGTGGTATGAATCTTTCACGTTTTATCACCTTATATTATATTTTGAAGTCACTTAAGAATTGACCTTCACTTTGTGTGAGTTCATTGGAGTATGAACCTTCATAGAATGAGGGCCAAACTGTATGAACGTCGGAGCTTTCATACAATGTTTTTCGCTCACTCTATGAAGGTTCATACTCCAATGAACTCACACAAAGTGAAAGTCAATTCTTATCATTTTTTTATCACAATTTCTTACCTCAAAGGATGTAGGCCATGATCCTAACACAATTTTATTTAGTACGTGTGACTTCATGTTTACACTGACAGCCATGCAACAACCAACTATATCGCAGAGTAAAATAGTTCCTCAAAAAGAGAGGTGACATGGGCGTATGGATGCACAACTTGCTCTTCAGAAACATCTTACGCAGCACATGTGTTCTAATCACATCCTCATTAGATGAGAAAGGTCTGTAAAGAACTACCTCAGTAAGTCAGTCACAATGACAGCGCGTCATAATACATTTACATCAAGTACAAGACGTCAAAATGGCCGACACGATAAACGTGACGGGAGAGATTTCCGAAGTTGTTAATGAACCTGTGGCGGTTACATGTGTTAGTCAACATTGATCAACTGGCCGATCATTGAAAGGTGAATAAAGATGCGTCAAACATACACTAAGGTTAATTCATAGATTGCTGGAGACAGTCAATATCAGCCTAGGCACGGATCGAATCGACACTACGATAGTTTAGATGTGCATTTCATCGTTTGTTCATTAGGACATTGTTGGATAGGCCGCAGCAAGGATATTTGTGAACAATCATGCAGTCACGTTCTCTGACATTTATCAATGTATACTGAAACGCTGAGACCAAGAATAAAGGTTCTAAATGATCAGAAAGAACGCTTATGTATGTTAGGGAATTCCCAGGGGTTTCCCCAGGAATGTGGAAGTAGTCCGTCAGTGTTTATGTCATTTCAAGAACACAGTCTCGTGAAAAACGTATAAACGTCAAATTGTGTCGTTCATACACTTATGAATGTCAATTTCGCGGTCATGTGACTGACCTCTCGTCCAATGGAAAAGCCAAACATCGTGTAAACTTCAAATTAAAAAATTATATTTAGATAAGTGTACCAGCTGGTTACATAATCGGGTAACATCTAGCGCTTTGAATAGGCCTAAATGAAGGCAATATTCATTCAACAACTGCATCATTATTTGAACTAGTACAGAATTTGCAAGAACGAAATCATTGTGACAAGAGACAAATACCATACATGTATATGGTCTCTGCTGTGACTGAGACGATTTGCAACTTGGATTGCATTTCAAATTCAACAGTAAGATTCATTTGTAATTTTGTCATTTCATGTTAGATACAACGTACATTCTGACCCAGTCGAGTAACAACTTCGTTCTGTGCAAGTATGATATCTCTCAGCTGATTCTGGACAATGATGTGTGACGGCAGAGACGACGGGTACGGATCACTCCCTCGGGTGGTTTCCCCTGTGACAACACAGTTGGCTTCCCTAACATCGGCAGCCATCTTGAAATTCCCGCAATGACTAAAGGTGAAGGTCACCATCGCGGTCAAGGACGTAACTTTGACATGTGCGTGCCTGTTGCTAATGTAAACGATGCAGTAAAAATACATTGAGGGTGCCAGTGGAATACGTACCGGGACCTCTGTCACAGCTAATGTCAATGTTTTGACATGATGCAGTTTTGAGACAGTATTTAGTTTGAAACAGAGAAACTAATAGTATTAGTTCGTAGTGATTATTACCAGAGCTATTAGATATATCTATTTCCAATATCATAATTATGCCTTCTTAATTTGACCACAGGAATAAGTAGCTGACATTAAGAATTAAAATGTTCAAAATGTGGAAAAAAATTATGTTCAGCAACGTATTCCTGTGTTTTGACACAGTAATTATTAATGTAGATGACTTATTTTAAAAGTGAGGATTGAAAATAACAAAATTTTAGAAAAAATGTAACTGATGTCAAAATAATACATGTAGATTTCTCTGCGTTTACAGGGCATTCAGAAATTGCTTCTGAATCAGATGAATGAGAGAGTTGGAATTTAAGCTGCTTTTAGCAATATTCCAGCAATATCACGACAGGGAACACCAGAAATGGGCTTCACACAATATACCCATCTGGGAAATCGAACTGGGGCCTTTAGCATGAGGAGCGGACACTTTAACCACTAGGCTACCCCACCGCCCTTGAATCAGATGAACTGACATCATTATGTCCCCCACCACTGCAAATATTGGTGTTGATTCAAGTGTAGTATCAGTGTACTAGTCCCGACATTAAGCTCTCCAAATATCCAGCAAATATTGTCTCGTGTTGCTACTGTTTATATTGTTGCAAACAAAAAGAAAAACTATTGATGAAAATCGAGTAAATATTTTTTCATGTAAATACTGAAAAGTATTATTCATTCATCGAATTCATGTTGGTTTCATCAATCAATTTGTAAAGGGAAAGGTGTCGGTTTTCTCATTGCCCTATATAAAAAAACTCGTTTACATTTTTCAGTTCTCTAATAAAGTTTAACAAAAGTGTATTATATATAACAGGAAGTATATTCATGTAGTTCCTCACCTACCTCTACATTGAATGTAATTTTATTTAAATATACCATACACCAATTTATTGAGAAATCTTAATGTATCAATTATTTCATCTATTTAAGTGGAGCATTTTTGCCAGATTTCAAATATTTCATTGGATTATCTCATTCTGTTATTGTTTTGAAGATTTTTTGATACCAAATTAGTCTGTATATTAAAATTTCAACTGAAAATAGTTTAATATAATTCCATATAGAAATAATAGCAAGATTTCGTAAACTTTCTTTAAAATAGTAATTATTTATCATGAACATTCTTTGGTGTGATTATCCCGAATTATTTTGAAAACAGGAAAACTGTCAGATTTCCTCAAATGTGTGTTGTGTAATTTAGGAGGGTATTTGTCTCAGTGATCAAATAACATGTATCAACCACACCTGAATATTTCTTCTCAATATTTTAGCATGTTTATATCACTTGCATGCAAAGGTATTGATAACCCAAGACAAGTGTTGTGTGTTCAATGTCAGGATTATCTCCAAGTAGCTAGTATAAAAGTGCATGTCACTTCTACTGCACAAAGTCAAGTTTCAAATATTCACCCCTCCGAACTAGATAACCCTCCCTTCTTAAAAACAGCCTACACTGTATGGATTGTTTCTCCTGCGTTATCAGCAGTGGATCAACAAAGACATGTAACTAAGCAATGACATGAGCTTTGACCTGCTCCCCTTCTTAATCACCCATTGTCTTAACATCTAATTAATTTGTCCTAATGCTATATGTGTAATCTCTTCTTAATCTGTGCTATTTATAACGAGGCTAGACTGGGTCTGGTTCTCTTTCAGGGAGATTATACAGGCACGAACCTGTCCTCTTGTTGATAATTCAATCCTCTACCTCGGGGCCTCAGTGGAGGAGTATTGAACCACGATTGATCCAAGTGATCGACTCTCGGACCTTATTCCCAGTCCAGGTGTCACTCCTACAGGTGTACTCAGGATTTCATTATAAGGTGACAGTCTCCATATTTGCTTCCTTGGGACGATATTTGTTCTTTGATTGCAGACTGTTGTTTAATGAGGCATGGCTTTGAGACGGATAACGGTTCCTAATTAGTGAGGAGGGTCATGTTGTCAAACATGAAAGACTGGGGGGAGTCCACGCTGATCTGTCTCGTTTGATTTGCGTGTCGGTAGGAGTCAGTATTTGGGATGGCCCAGACCTGTGCCAAGTGGACAGTAGAACAATATGACCACTGACTGGCCTCATGTCAAGCAGGGAGGAGTGAGGGGCTGGACTTGAAGGAATTCAAGTGTGCTTGTTATACTGTAAGGAGAGACGATCGAAGACAAAACATAGCTTATCTTCTTAGGTCTCCTTGAACAGAACTCACAGGTGAGATTTTCTGTATTTTTTGTTTATCTGTGTTTGTATTTATTGTCTGAAGTTATGTTTAATTTTTTTTATTATGTTGATATACAGTATACAATGTGTTTCTTGTAAGATTTGGGACTGGTATTTGACATAATGTCTGTCATGTTTGTTCAGTCTCTTGTTTGTTCTCTTAGGTAGTCTGTTAGTGTACAGTGTTTGTGTACAGTGTTTGTGTACAGTGAGGTTATTGGCACTGCTTTAAGTGCAGGTATATTATCAGTATGTAAACTGTGTTGTTAGTTCCTTTTTGGGAGGATATCAATAATTTAAAATATCTCATTTGGAAATGAATTAACAATTGATATTTCCCATGTGGTGACTAGTTATGTGTTGTGTTGACAAACCTGTCATAAAGACGGATACCTCTCTACCTGTTTCACACAAGGGCAGAAGGTGTACTTGTATTATCAGGGAACTGGTACACGTTTGAATAAGTGGTAAACAATACTGCTCCTTCATTTCAAACAAAAAGACATGTTACCCAATGTATACCCGGTATGTAAAAGATTCATCTTATTATTTAGTTGGTCCTGTGCTGTAGTCACACGACTGAGGTGAGACTTACTATAACATAGTTACAAGGGCCTACTCAGACTGGAGGGTTGGGAAGTTTACGTTAGATAGTTGATGAAGACCTGTTATATGTGGATCTTGTTGTTGGTGTAATATTTTTTATACTGTCTCATAATCAGGATATGAGGAAGTTGATTTCATCATGCTTGTTTTACAGTAATACAAACATGATTTTCTATGAAAAAGTGAAATGGGAATATTAGATATGTTTGCAAGCCCGACATTTCACCCAAAAAATCCTATTTGGATATATTCAAAAATTAAGGTGAGGTGAAATGGGGTTTAACGTCACATTTAAGATTATATGCGACATGCAAGCACATGTGTGTGTGTCTGCTTGTACTAGTCTGGGCTAATGCTGATATTATAGTGCTAGTCCACTGAGATATCATGCAGTTTAACATGAATATGCCAATCAGACACAGAATACTGACTCTGTGCTGACCAGTCCTTGTTTTAGCCCCTTAATGCCAAGCACCAGGCAGGGTAACAACAAGTCCCATCTTTTAACATCCTTTTGTATGACGTGGTCGGGGATCGAATCCCCGACCTTCGTTCTCCATGCAGATGCTCCACCACTAGACCACAGAGGCTGTCTAAAAAATTAAGATAAACATGTTGGTTTCTGTCGTAAGGTTGAATTATTTATTCTACTTGTAGTCATATGTTAGTCACCAGTCTCAGAGAGAAAGAGAAGAAACGATAACTTGATGTTTGTGTTTATCTTATACATATTGTTTCATGACTAATGTATTGTAACCCACATGATGTCTGGTATTTTATAATGGTTAGTATATGATAATGTCTAGGATGTAATAATGTCTGGATATTAGTATGTTATAATGCTGGGTATGTAATGCTAGATATGGCGTGTTATAACCCTTGATGTGTTATAACGTCTTGATATGGAGTGTTATAACCCTTGATGTGTTATAATGTCTGGATATGGAGTGTTATAACCCTTGATGTGTTATAATGTCTGGATATGGAGTGTTATAACCCTTGATGTGTTATAACGTCTTGATATGGAGTGTTATAACCCTTGATGTGTTATAATGTCTGGATATGGAGTGTTATAACCCTTGGTGTGTTATAATGTCTGGATATGGAGTGTCATAACCCTTGATGTGTTATAACGTCTTGATATGGAGTGTTATAACCCTTGGTGTGTTATAATGTCTGGATATGGAGTGTTATAACCCTTGATATGTTATAATGTCTGGATATAGTATGTTATAATGCTTGGTTTGTTATAATGTCTAGATATGGAGTGTTATAACCCTTGATATGTTATAATGTCTGGATATAGTATGTTATAATGCTTGGTATGTTATAATGTCTAGATATGGAGTGTTATAACCCTTGATGTGTTATAACGTCTTGATATGGAGTGTTATAACCCTTGATGTGTTATAATGTCTGGATATGGAGTGTTATAACCCTTGGTGTGTTATAATGTCTGGATATGGAGTGTTATAACCCTTGATATGTTATAATGTCTGGATATGGAGTGTTATAACCCTTGGTGTGTTATAATGTCTGGATATGGAGTGTTATAACCCTTGATATGTTATAATGTCTGGATATAGTATGTTATAATGCTTGGTATGTTATAATGTCTGGATATGGAGTGTTATAACCCTTGATATGTTATAATGTCTAGATATAGAGTGTTATAACCCTTGATATGTTATAATGTCTGGATATTAGTATGTTATAATCCTTGGTATGTTATAATGTCTAGATATGGAGTGTTATAACCCTTGATGTGTTATAACGTCTTGATATGGAGTGTTATAACCCTTGATGTGTTATAATGTCTGGATATGGAGTGTTATAACCCTTGGTGTGTTATAACGTCTTGATATGGAGTGTTATAACCCTTGATGTGTTATAATGTCTAGATATGGAGTGTTATAACCCTTGATGTGTTATAATGTCTGGATATGGAGTGTTATAACCCTTGATGTGTTATAATGTCTGGATATGGAGTGTTATAACCCTTGGTGTGTTATAATGTCTGGATATGGAGTGTTATAACCCTTGATATGTTATAATGTCTGGATATAGTATGTTATAATGCTTGGTATGTTATAATGTCTAGATATGGAGTGTTATAACCCTTGATGTGTTATAACGTCTTGATATGGAGTGTTATAACCCTTGATATGTTATAATGTCTGGATATGGAGTGTTATAACCCTTGGTGTGTTATAATGTCTGGATATGGAGTGTTATAACCCTTGATATGTTATAATGTCTGGATATAGTATGTTATAATGCTTGGTATGTTATAATGTCTAGATATGGAGTGTTATAACCCTTGATATGTTATAATGTCTGGATATAGTATGTTATAATGCTTGGTATGTTATAATGTCTAGATATGGAGTGTTATAACCCTTGATATGTTATAATGTCTAGATATAGAGTGTTATAACCCTTGATATGTTATAATGTCTGGATATTAGTATGTTATAATCCTTGGTATGTTATAATGTCTAGATATGGAGTGTTATAACCCTTGATATGTTATAATGTCTGGATATTAGTATCTTATAATGCTTGGTATGTTATAATGTCTAGATATGGAGTGTTATAACCCTTGATATGTTATAATGTCTAGATATAGAGTGTTATAATCCCTGATACATAACACTCTTCTCCTCCAGGATGGATCTTCCCCATGGAAATTGGATGTGTCGGTGAAGGTTCATCTGACTTTAGATTCCAGAAGTCAACTGGGCAGGACATTTCCAAGTGTATGATGGAAATATGCACTTTTCCAAATAGAAAAATAATTCAGTGAAATACTCAGTGTGATATCAGTATATCAAGCATGGATCACCTACAAGCAATGAGCGAAGGGGTGGAGGAAGCGTTGTCCCTGTTGGAGGTGTTGTCTAGTCGGAATTCATGTATCACGGAGCTGGAGGTATGGGCATTGTGCAGAGAGTGTGCACTCACATTGGAGTACATGCAGAGTGAGCCTGATCTATACCAGGGGCTGTGCATCACCCCCGAAACTGTCGCCTTCGATCAGACTGGGAGCGTTTGTTTTCTGGACCTTGGAATTGGTGAGTTTCTTTCATTTTTTATTTATCTTAATCACGATATAGAACCGTGTAATAGCAATCAACTGTGCAGTGAGAAGTTGATGAAGAGTGAGTGATTGAGTTGGGTTTAACGCTGCTTTTAACAGTATTCCAGTTATATCACGGCGTGTCAGCTTAATGTGGGAGGAAAGACCCCAATCCAAAGCACAACTATGTCCGACAAAGCTAACAATTCACTAGTCTCTGCGTAAGTGAGAGATTTATTTTAGAATCTCTGATGGTTCTGTTCTTTTCTAGTAGAATGTCTAGAATGCTGAAGGTGACATCACAGATGTATGACATCATTCCTGCCTCAATGCGTTCATGGACATGTCATTGTAAGATCAATAATAAACAGAAATATGTCACAGACCGGATTATCTGCCCAAATCTGAATATACCAGGAAACTGAGTCTGAAATTTTGAAGTTCCTGCCAAAATGCAGCCTCTTAACAATTTTCAAAAACTTTGATAAGTGTAAACAGCCCAACTTGGACCAAGAAATCTTGGTCCAAGTTTTCTTTGACCAAGTTTTTGATCAAAGTTTTTGATAGTTTAACGGGGGCTTTAGACATAAATGCTGAACATTGTACATCAAAAAAGTTTGTTTTTTCATAAGGGTAATATATTTTTAATCAAAATAAAATTATTATTTGCACTTTTCTGAAACATGCACACAATATTAGTAACGATCAATCGGTTTGAACAACATGCAGGACCTCGACTTGGATCTTTCACAGAGAGAGCAGTTCGTTCTCCATGAAACTTGACTATGTAATTAACCTGATTTAATTCTGTCATGTTTGTGTCTGTGTACTATATTCGTGTATTGCAACACACATTAACATACCAACACACCACCACATGCCAGGACCTACTTGCACAAAGCGATCTTAGCGCTGAGATGATCTAACTCCCATACTTTAACATAGGCTTACAATAGACCTTCAAATTATCTATCTTTTCAGTCAGCTATTCTAAAGCATGTAAAATATGCATACTAGCTATTATTTACCGCGATTGTTTGGCCAAAACGTGATAGATTATTGTTATTACTTGGGGAGTATGCCCATCCATGCATGGGTGATGGTCTTGATTGGTGGGATCAGAGTAGCTAATGTTCCCATTGACACTTTGCATCGCTGAAACGTTGCTGAAACATTAATCCATGATTATCAGGAGATTATCAGCTCTGTGTATTACACAAACGCCATGCAGAAGTCGAAGATTATGTTACGTATAGTTGTAAAGGGGTTCAAAACGAGGTCAGCTAATTACAGGGCATCAACTTCAAACAAAGAAAATACCTTGACTGTTGCCTTATGAAACACGTTTCAAGTTGAACATTTTCTATTCAACGAATTGTTTTAACTAAAGCACTTCTAATCATATTTAATAACATTGAGAAAAAATATCATGTTAACACATAATAATGTTATCCCTGACAATTGACTCATTGATAAAATGTTTTATGAGGGTTTTTTCAACTTTGATAATATTCTGCTCAGATTATCCTCATGACGTGAGCTCAGTTCATAAATTATTCACCCTCTCCCTAGTCTGTCTCACAGACCCTAGAGAATGAATTAAAAAATGAATCCAACTCAAGTCTGGAATGATTTGACAAATCTAGACTGCCTCAGCTCTACTAAGCGTTGTCCTGGGCTCCATTTTTTATTTTGTAGATACATATTTTAAGATAAGATGACTTTATTCCTGGGACTGCATGTCAGTCTATCTCCCTCTAAATCTTCTGCTCATGTTATTAGATAATTGCTTGTTCTGACTGCCTGGATGAAATCTGTTCCAAATAGACAATTCGCATCTTGTTCTTCCTGTGAGTGAGTGAGTGAGTGAGATGGGTTTAACAGCACTTTTAACAGTATTCCAGTTCTATCACGGCATGTTAGCTTAATGTGGGAGGAAAGCCCAAAGTGATGCAGGTCTGAGACGTTTACCACTTTGGTGAAACCCACGAGCACGGCAAACCTAGAAAAAGAGGAAGGAGGTATCTTATAAGGTTTAAAATAAGACATCTCCAGCCTTTTCAGATGACAATCAAATGAGTATTTTAAGCTGGCCTAATATACAAGGCTGTGACAAACAAAAATAACCATGTTGAGTGAAATCATTTTAGTCATGGTACAATACATAGAGCAGAATAATAGTGATCCCTGATGTATACGAGCACGCCCTCACAGTCAGAGAGATACACCTGACTGACCTCTGACCTGCTTGAGTGGGAACACTGCAAGATAAACCCTGAGAATTGTGATTGCTGTATTTAGTGGAATGTTAATAAACACATCTACCTGTGGGATGTAGCTGGGATGCAGTGAAGGTAGGCGAGACAGTGATGTAAGGTTAGGCTGCCATCAGCTAGATCATTCTGATGATTGGTGGAGTCAAGAGTTTAATATCTATATTACATGTAGAAAGGTTGTGTAATTGTGTCACTGTGTAATCGTGATGACCTATACACTCACTAGTCTGTGGTGTTTCACAACTATTAACAGATCCCAGGATAGTCGAGAGTAGGGCTGGCTAAAAAGATTGATAATCTGAATTATCGTCGATGGGAAGAAATATTAACTATTATCAATATGAAAATTTTGTTATCGATAATATCTTTCACAAATTATTGGGAAGAAATAAAGTTTAAATTTACTGAAAAACACTTGTTATTGTCAACAACATGTCAATTGCTGACAATGGAAGCAACTGTTATATATGTCAAATGTCCACAAAGTAATCCATGCATAAATGTGTCCCCACTCACCATTGATGTGAAATATGTTGATTTCTTTCGGACTTTCTTTTCGGATGTTTTGGATGTTTGCTCAAAATTACTTCTCCAATATTTATTGATAATTGATCAATATTTTGTTAACAATTATCAATCTCTATGATCTATATTGATAGCCAGCCCTAGCAGAGAGTCTTCCACTTGCGGATTCCACATAAAGTCATTAAGCTTGATCCACATACTTCTTGTTTCCCCATCGCCTTGGTCCCCCTTCAAGGAGCGACTGTAGCGCTACGTATGTCGTAAATCTATGTTTAAGTGTAGGAGTAACGATAATCGTTGTGTTGAGATAGCTTTGTGAAACGGAGCCCCTGAAAATATTTTTTTAAATCAAACACTTTTAAGAAATGACGTTTTACCTTGAATACATTTTGGACCTACATCTGTTTGGTCTAGTAAGATCAATAAAACTCACTCACTCACTCACTCACTCACTCACTCACTCACTCACTCACTCACTCACTCACTCACTCACTCACTCACTCACTCACTCACTCACTCACTCACTCACTCACTCACTCACTCACTCACTCACTCACTCACAATATTCTGTCAATACTCAATACACTTTCGCTACCTTTGCTTAATTTGTCAAAATGACTCTCCTGAACAAGAGTTGGGGACAGATTTACACTCACACATGTGGAGTCATACAAGAAAACCCTCGACAGATTCAATCAAAACAGAAAACTGTTGTTAAGGAACTTTTAGCAGGGAAGATGTTTCCATAAGTGTCAAGACAGAGTGAGGGACGTCCTTATGCTAGAAATCATTTCCAGTCAAGTATTTGTGAATTTGCCACTTGTTCCAATCATGAAAGCACAACGTAATTTGGTCAGATGACCACTTTTTGTGTGGCAGCATTTGAAGTGGACTCATAATCAAGCTGTGCTGGTGAAGGCCCAGGGTAGTTATAATGGATTGGAGATATTATACCCTGGATAACCAAGGATGGGCAGCACCACCATAACAGTTTTCAATAGTTTCATTCAGTTGGCAAAGTCTGAGAATTTTAGTTGAGTAATTACCTTTTCCCCTTTAGCCATTAAGAACAGATTTCTTTTCTCTGTTGCACTGCCAATAACAATATTTGTTTGATGTGTCTAAATTGACAATTGTGTTTCATGTTTAGTCAAAGGATTTGGGTGATATCCAAGATGTGGCTGTAATTTGCTCAATTTAATTGTCCCATCCTATTGTGGGGAAAAATTGTTCAAGTGTTTCAGTGCTGCACACAGAAGACTTGTTAATTTGTTTTTTCAATATATTCACTGAACAATCAATTTATATTGAGGCTAAGTCAAGACCAGCTGACTCTCTTGTTAAACAGCTTCTGTCAGTAGGAGGCAAGATAAAAAAAAAATCATTTTACAAAGTTAAAATAAAGATTCAAGAACTTTTAACAAGTACAGTACTCAGAACTTATTTGAAATAGATGTATCAAATATTCAATAATATTGTTCCTGAGCCATGTCTACTACTACTACTACTACTACTACCACCAGCATCTCCTCACAAAAACAATCATACACATTAGTGATGTGTTAATTATTTATGATTGGAAGCATGGCAATTCAATAGTTAATTAGGTTTGTTTATATACGAAAATACATGTACTTCGGGAGAGTATTGATTGTGATGTAAACACATTGGGCTGAGGCGACGATGTTCACTCACCTGTGACCGTCATCGTACATACATTGACGACTCAGGTTTAAGTGGGTAATTAGCACTAACGAAGTTCCATTTAAGTAATTAATTATCTAGTGTGAAAGTACATTTCTCTGTGGCATCCCAACTGGATTGTGAATAAATTTGTGTTAGTTTCCTGTCAAATCAATTTTGCCGTTCTAAAGAGATGCTATGACTTGGCAGGTAGGTAACACTTAGTCCATACGTTACACTTGGGCAGAGTGTGCTATTTGTCAGGTAATCTAGACAATATATAACATTGATGGAGGCATGTGAAGCTGGATGATGTTTTCCTGGGAATAGTTCTGAGGAAAACAGCTTTCGTTGATGAAGCGTGACATGTACAAGGTCAAATGTGTTGTTCAGTTTTAGTGTGTTAGATTATATCATATATATTTTGTTTCTTGAAACAACATGTTTTCATCATTTGAAAAGTACTGAGGACTACTACTATCACTTAAATGTTTTGTTTTCACTCTTTTAA